GTGCCATTTTCCCATTAATTAATTTAAAAAGTTAATAATTTTACTTTGTGAGATATTATATATGGGTTTTCTTAGTGCATACGGTCATATAATGCTTGCATGTTTTCCTTGTCATCTTAAATAATAATAATAATAGTTTTGCTTATTTGATAACTATTGTAGACAATTGAAACACATTTTAAAGATCACAAGATTATGGTGCAATTCTTTTTAAAAATAAAGGAAGTGGCATTCCTAGTCCCTAAATTATCTGTGAGGTTTAAATACTCAACCAAATTAGGACTTTTAACCAATTAGTTAATTTATGCTATGTGGGATTGAACATGTCATCTCATCGAAATCTGAACGACTGACTAACTTTACAACCTTAATATGAAATGTTGTAAAATTAGTAAATTATCATAATATACTATAAATTTTAGTAAATTTTAATCTGAGCGACGGACTAACTTTACACCCTTATGTCACATTTGGTTTAAGGAAAATGAATTGAATTTAAATTTTATGAAAAAAAAAATCATTTAGGAACATTGATTCTATTATTTAGTTATTGAAAAATGCATTATTAGAAATAATTAGTACGGAGTATAAAGTAATAAATAATATACTTTTTGTTATAATTCACTGGAACATAATTTGCCACAGCCCGCAACAAGTTGAATGCATATATAAGTCCGCTGAGCCCGTAATCCGATCATCGTACTATCGACACTTTAGGATACCCTCAAAGATCCGACGGCTTCTGTACTTATATACTCAACTCCGATCCATCCGCAGCAGCAGATAGCTAGCCAGCTTCTACTTCTGAGCCGCCGGAGATGCATACGATGAATGAATACGGCGATGAAGAGAGTAACAGCGGCGGCGGCAATGTTAGCTGCTTTGAGAAACCTGGGCGGAGATGCAGCAAGCTGGTGAAAGAGAGGAGAGCCAGATTTTATATCCTCCGCCGCTGCGTCGCCATGCTTGTTTGCTGGCACCAATACGACGACGCTTAGTTTCCGGCCATTAGAGTCGTCTGATCTCTTTCTGACTTTCTCCGTCGCAGCTCTGTTCCTCTCCAGATATCATGTATATATCTACCAGAAACCTTGTGGTTGATTTAATCAGGTTTTAAGGTATAAATTGCGCGCGCGAGTTATTTGTTTCCGAATTTCATTCTTCCCAAACTTCATGTATCTTCATATTCTAATCAAGTGTATAAAAAATTAAACGAAATGTTTTGTAATTTAATAATGTAAGCTTTATGAGTCTACGTACATAGTAGGTCTTGAATTGCCAACAAATATTGTTTTCATTCCTCCTTTCATTTTTTTGAGTCTATCTGAGGGGTGGGTGTGTATTGAAGAATGAGTTTATTTAGCAAAAGTTAGATCCTTAACTAAATTTAATTTGGCAAAGCAAAAGCAACAAGTGGCAAGGATTGAATATAATGTTCTTTTCAAACATTGAGATAAAACTGACATTAAAAGTGATGATTCTGGGTGAGGTCTACTTTTAATATGGGTTGTTAAGGTGGATTCGCGTTATTAACTTATCATAAGTGATGATACGGATCAGAATATATTATATGCTCAATATGGAAATATATAAAAATTGATTCTCAAAGTCCTTTAAAAAAAATTGATTCTCAAAGTGTGTCAATGTAATTGGTAAAATGATACAGAGTATTATTTTTTAAATTGATAAAATATAATGGTATTTGATAATGCTTTTAAGTAGTATTTGTCCTACATTGAAAATTGATGTGATTTGCGTTAGTATAAATACTATTCAACTTTTTTGTTTTTATAATAAGTTTGAATTATATAGCATGAAAACTCTCTCCTACACAATAGGTATTTGAAAGTTCTCAACACCTATCTAAATGTGCTCTTGAGATGAAACTCAAATTGTGAACTTAGTCGGCAAATAATCATAAGGAGGTAAACCAACCTAGCTAACAACCGCCAAATGATCACCGGACGGTAAACTAGCAGCATAGATTGTTCATAGTTGATCAACTGAAATCAGTTAGTCAATTCATATGAGATTGCCCAATTTATTTTTGACACTTACAGGGCGTTTGGTTGGAGGGAATTTAAATTCCCACCTAATTCCAAAGGCCATAAAATTCCTTAGTTTGGTTGGAAGGAATTGCAATTCCCTCATGATACGGGTAATTCCCGGTTGTACTCGTAGAATGTCTGTATAGTATGAACAAGGAAGGAGAAATATAGGCAAAGAAGTCCCTTTATTCATAATTGCTCTTTTGTATTTGTAGAGACAAGGGAGAGCATAATGTAGAGAGAGAGTGTGTGTAGAAGAAGAGGGGAAAATCCCCTGACTTGGAGGGCTAAGGCCCTATTTATAGGGTCAAGGGTTGGCAGGTTGATCCTGACCCGAACCGTTTGATCCGACCCGGGGTATATTCCCCATCACCCCATATTCATGGAATTAAAATCCCATGTACCCCTGAAATTTTAATTCCTGATATTTTATGAAGAAAAAAAGTGAGTGATGAGACAAAATTACCCATCCTTTTTTTAAACCTAAAATTAATACCACAACAACCCTGAGCATTTTGAACTTTATACTACTTATTCCCTTTCAATTCCCATGTATACCAAACACTAGAATTGAAATTCTCAGTAATTATATTTTTGTAAACCAAACGCTGTAATTTAAATTCACTTCATTCCCAGTAATTCATCTCCCATGGAATTGCAATTCATTTCTCACGTAATTCCCCTTCCCGACCAACCAAACGCGTTGTTAGTGGTTAGTATAATTATCATTAAATAAACCTTTTTAATGCATGATTGCCTAATTTAATTCAAACGCTACCACGAGATTATTGCCATACAATCATAAACATTGTTAGAGCATCCATAATGATATTTTTTTTTTTTTTTTTTTTTTTTTTTTTTTTTTTTTTTTTTGTAGATTTTTGTAAGTTTTATGGATGAGGTGAATGGCCGAACGGGGGAGAGGATATGAGAGACAATGTTGAGTATTTTATAATAATGAGAATTTTTTGTAAGTCATGTGTAGAGAAAAAAAAAAGTGTTAGTGTATGTTTTGCACACCCGTCATGTAAACATAACGTTAACTTCTTTTCTTTTGTTTTTTGTTTTTTTTTTTTTTTTAAATTCCTTTCAATTCTTTTCAGTTTTTTCCCGTTTTCTTCCTCTCCCTTTCTGTCTAGATATTTTATTAAATTTTGCATAAAATATCTATGTGCATTCAACATATTCAATATTTATATACCAATGAAATAATGGAAGTATATGAAACTGAAAGAAGCGACAGCGGGGATAGATGTAATGTTTGATGCTCTCTCATCTTTTTCCTTCTTAGTGACAATTACTAGCTAGGATAATTATGTTGTCACATTAAGCCACAGTTGAACAATTTTTTTTTTTTTTTGAAAACTGAGTATGTATGTAAGCTAAGTAAGCATTATTTATGTCTTGATTGAACCATTTAACATTTAACGTACTTTAATAGACAATTTCTAACGATTTTTAAATAAAAAAAAAAGTTTTTCGATAATATTAATTATCTACAAGAATGGTCAATAATACCAGCTATATATAAAAGTGGCCAATAAATTTGAATTGTCACTACTAATTATCAAACAGGGCCAATATAAATCTTCTATTCGTGTCGTTGGAGATAGAAGATTTACTTCGTTAGAATATATAAATATAAATGTTTGGTTAATTAGTTTTTTGCAACTCCAAAAGGCTAAACTTCAAAAAGTTATTCCAAGCCACTTTTTCAATTAGCTTTTTGAGAAAAGAAATTATATCAAACAGTTACCAGCTAACAGCTAATTTATCAAACACTTTTCTACAATCAGCCAATGTTATCAACTATTTACACCCTCTTATTAACACAATCAATTAACAGCTAACAACCATTTTACCAAACAGGGCCATGAGAGGTTACTTAATGGACCCTCCTAAGCATGCATCGAATGGTCTTTTATGTTATAATCAGCTTTGTTTAACCAAAAATGTCTCTACTTCAGGTGGGATTGTCTCCCTAAATGGAATAGAATTGAAGTTGGATGTTGGGCTGTCCAATCAAAACCCTCAATAATTACCCAATTTGTGGCAAATATTTCATGCCCCTTTTTTAGTGTGTACGACTTACGAGCATATCAATTAGCTTCCCCACATCGAACCTTCACCACCACACCTAGCCGGACATGACAACAAATGAACAAATCCATTCTCACTGTTCACTAATTGTGTCGTTGCATTGCATACAACGCATATACTTTATGAACCTAGTTGTCAAAGGATCATATATATAACGAAGTAAACCAGCTCAAATCGAGAATATTAAAGAAAACTACTCTATATAACCAGCCTTATAACTATAGTCGGCAAATGATCATAGTGAGATAAACCAAGAAGGCCAAAGGCAATTCTCACACAAAGTCAAACTTAAAATCTTGTGATTAAGCTGATTATATATTAAGGTAACCGTACGTTAGACCAACTTGGTTGAGATTACTCTACATACAACACATACTGAATGTATTGTTTAGTAATACTTCAAAATGCATCTCAATTGGTCAGTAAATCAAAATAAATTAAAAGGTTTTGTTTTATTAACAATCTCAAGCTATAATATTTGAATTGTGTTATACAAGCAAATACATCTTATATAATTTATCTCATCCACTAGTCTTCAATATAGGAACAGTGTATACATATCATTGCAACTCTACTTTAATTTGCCTTTTTGAGAGTTGAGAGTTGAGACCAATTCATGCCGCAACCCAAAATTAGGAAAGTCTTGTAAACGGGGCTGAACTTTTATGTGCTAAAATAGAAAAAGAAAAATTGGAGTGTAATTAAACAAAAAAGGAAAATGAATTGGGCTTTTAAGATATAATTAGGCCTCTCAATCAAGATGGATAAACGGCCCACATTTCTTACAAAATCTGAACCCAACATTTCCAAAATATATATAAGCCCAAAAATCTACAAAACATAAGCACAAAACCCTGAGGTCTGAAACCAAAAACCTCGGACTCAGGTCGAGAAGATGGAGTTTGAGAAGAGGAAAGCTGCCACTTTAGCTTCAATCAACTCGCCGGAACCGGACAAGTCTCCGAAAGGCAACATAGACGCCCCAATCCTGCCACTACTCGCCGCCATCAACTCTCACCCTTCATATTTCACCACCAGCTCTTGCTCCGGCCGCATCTCCATCTTTGCCCACCCCACCGCCCCTTCAAATAACCCCAAGAAGGCCAAAGGAGGGACATGGGTCTTTATCTCCCACGACCCAGTTGATCCCGACTCCGTTTTACCACTCCTATTTGGGACCGAGTTGACTCAGTCTCCTGTCTCCCACAGCCTGGTGTTCAGGTTTGAGCCTCTGATTATCGCCATTGAGTGTAGAGACGTGGAGGCAGCTCAGTCGCTGGTTTCCTTGGCGATTTCGTGTGGGTTTAGGGAGAGTGGGATTACTAGTGCCACTAACAAGAGAGTGATCATTGCTGTAAGGTGCTCGATTCGATTGGAGGTGCCGCTGGGATATAGCGACAGGATAATGGTGTCGCCGGAATACTTGAAGTACCTCGTTGAGCTTGCAAATGAGAAGATGGGCGCTAACAGGAAGAGAACTGATGGCTTTCTTGATGCACTGTTAAAAAATAGATTTTTAGAGCCTCAGATTAGTAATGGAAAGCTTTTGGGCAATAATGAAGTGGATTCTGATGAACGTTCAGGTTTTCTCGATGGACCCGAGTCAGAGTTCTTGGGAAATTCTTCCAGAGATGGCATGACTAGCCATAAGAATGATGAAAATACATGCGGTAATTGTCTCTAAAACAAACTCTTTGGTGTTTGAGTAGAAGCTATTATGAACTTTTTTTGTTGTCTACTTGTTTCTCATACTGGAAAAAATGGGGCTGTACAATTTAGATAAAGGTTTGGCATGCACATACAAAGATCATTGCTTGTATATTCCATGGGTTTAGAGAGTACACCCTCAAGATAATAGACAGAATTGACTATCTTCTGTGTTGTATGGTGAGTGGTTGATTAGTTTTATATCTTGACTCTGAACTTTTTGTTACTTTTATGTATAATAGACTACACTTTATTTGTAATGATTAGCTACTATAGTTTGTTTTAAATACTCTCTGACTAAAGAATTCAAAAATTCGAGTTGATGTATGGGCCTATGCAACATTTGATATAGTTGTAAATGTGTGAGAATTTGGTAGTACTCTAACTACTATGTCTCGATGCAGGATACATTCCCTTAAATGTGACAGCAAGTCTGAATCTTTAAATCATTGACAGGATCATCAGCAGTTTCTGGTATCAACCCATCGGAGATGCCAATTGCCGGAGAGTCCATTGAAAGGCTTTTCCTCTGGGGTCACTCTGCTTCTGCAATGGATGATGCATTTGACAAGAGGGTTCTCGTTTTTGGTGGGTTTGGAGGTCCAGGTAGACATACACGGAGAAATGATCTGCTACTTCTTGATCTACCAATTGGCAAGTTAGAAGTAGTTGATGTTCAGGAAACCCCATCATCTCGTTTGGGTCATACATCTTCCATAGTAGAAAAGAGTATGTATGTAATTGGTGGAAGAGCTGACCCATTAACTATTCTGAATGATGTGTGGGCTTTTAGCATTGCCAACAAGGAGTGGAGACTTTTACAATGTTCTGGAAGTTTATTCCCGCCAAGGTGATGTTTAAGTCATCTTTTTCTATAACTCTGCCAAGTGCATTACATATTTACATGCCTTCATTATTATTTACTGTTAGAAGCTAAGGTTGTTAGGAATTAGCTCTCAGCTACTCATTTTTAAATTCAAATGAGTGGCTGAGTCCTGCTGTTAGAATGTATATATAGGCTTCTTGTACAGGTTTAGTTCATCAGTTCAATACACTCTAAATGCTCTATACATACGTATTCCACATGGTATCAATTCCCTCGATTTTCATTCTTTTTTAAAAAATTAACATGTTATCATGCAGGCATCGGCATGCAGCAGCAGTGATTGGCTCAAAAATATATATATTTGGAGGAATTCATAATGATGTAATATTGTCGTCACTACATGTCCTTGACACACAAGCCATGACATGGAATGAACTAGAAGTTAAAGGGGAATTGCCATGTCCCCGTCACTCTCACTCCATGGTAGCAAATGGGACTCAATTATATATTTTTGGGGGATATGATGGGGAGAGACCTCTTGGAGATCTTTATAGTTTTGATACTAAAACACTTCTTTGGAAGAAGGAAAATATGTCTGGGAGACCACCAAGTGCAAGGTTTTCCCACTCTATGTTCGTCTATAAGAACTTTCTTGGTATTATTGGAGGATGTCCTGTTAGTCAAAGTTATCATCAGTTGTCATTGATTGATTTGCGCTTAAGGCAGTGGAAGCATGTTGTCGTCAGTTTCTTAGGCAAGGGCTTGTTAGTTCGCAGCACAGCTAACGTTGTTGGTGATGACTTAATAATGATTGGTGGTGGGGCAGCATGTTATGCATTCGGTACTAGGTTCAGTGAACCAATGAAAATAAACTTGCTTTCTTTGATCTCTGAAGTTGATAATTCTATCAATTCAGACCATATGAATAGGTCTGTCGATTATCAGCAGGGAGAGGGAATAGAAACCAAGAAAACTAATTCATCGGTGTTCTCCCAGAAGGGAGTTGAAATGGGTCAAGATGGAGGTATGGATAAAAGTGCTGACCCTAGAGAATCTGGTGAAAATGACGGAAAACATATTGTTGCCTCCTGTTGGGTTGTAAGACTAGAAAGAAAATATGCAAAACTGGTGAAAGATATTTTAAAAAATTTTGGGTGGTTGGATCTTGGAAGAAAAGTTTACTCCCAGGATGATGGAATGCATATATGTTTTCCTGTAACAGAAAATTTTTGCTCAATATTCCCTGATAAGAGACCCGGCTTAGGTGATGACATTAAAGAATCGGATGATTTTGATTCTTCAAAACCATTTCTTGAAAGGGAACATCTTTTAAAAGACATTTCCAGTTCAACAGCCTTGAAAGTTCTGATGGAATGTCATGCAACAAAAATTGAAGATGAAGTTCTAAAAGTGAAAAAGGCCACACACACTCCCTTGGAAATAATGAAGGAAGCTGTAGCCTCTTTAATCAGTCAAAGAGGACTGCCGCCACAACTCTTAGAGCAACTACCATCAAGGTTTCATTTTCTAGCTTCTTATTTTTTTAAAAGCACATCATATACTTACACAGCGGCACACTCTCTTCTGAATAGTTAGAAATAAACAGCATTACCGTGACATGTATGGACCACTAAAGTTTTGCCCAGTTCAGTATGACTTCAGATTAACACTTAACTTTTATGTTATAAGATTAAACACACTTATTTTCTTCAGATGGGAGCGATTAGGTGATATTGTGGTACTTCCTATCACATGCTTCAAGGATCCAGAATGGGACTCTATTGGGGAGGAGCTTTGGTGTGCTGTTGCAAAGTCACTTGGAGCTCGTAGGCTTGCTCGACAAGTAAGAGTTATTTGTGAAATTTAGGGCGTTGCAATACCAAAATGTTGCTATTAATGTTTTCCAACACAATCTTTCCTGCATACTAACTAAACCTTACTATAGGCTTTCTTGAGCTTCTGTCGTCAAATATTTAGGATTAATGCTGGATTATAAGATGAGACTATGGGGGCATGCACATCCCATTTTTTTTAATAATGTCCCTTTTCTCCTACCCTAGAAATCTGATCAACATTCTCTTATCATTGTAGCCTTGTAGGAAGTGTTCAATTCCTATTATTTGCTAATCACTGAGCATTGGTTATGTTGTACAACTATGTATTTAGTTTTTATAAGTTGTTAAATCTCTATTATGTTGTTGGAACCATTTAATTATTACTATAATTAGATGCAAAGTACCATTAGAAAGTTCACATATGAAAGTGATACTAATACATGAAGTCTAGTTACTTTTTTGCTATATCTAACCGTGGAAAGGTTAGAAGCCAATATGTTAACTTACAATGCCTATTAGAAGTTTCACATATCTACTTGATATGACTACATAAAAGGTAGTTAACTTTTTGCTACACTTGGTAATGGAAAGGTTTTATTGAACTTTCGAGCCAATCTCTTAACTTAGTGTGCCTAAAATTATAGGGCAGAGTTTCTCCAACTGGCACGAGAGATAGTACTTTGGAGATCCTTGTTGGAGATAATGGCTGGGTAGATCACCGTGAAAATGGAATTTTATATTCTTTCGATACTAGCAAGTGCATGTTCTCGTGGGGTAATCTCTCTGAGAAGCTGAGAATGGCTCGCCTTGACTGTACAAATGAAGTTATAGTGGATCTATTTGCTGGTATTGGATATTTTGTGTTGCCATTCCTTGTGAGGTAAAACTCGTTTAACCAATTTCTCTAGCAATATAGGAACGATCTTAGAAATTTATTGATGATTACCTCAACAATTTCAATATATATGACTGCTAAACTTGCTTTCATTCTTTTATATTCTTCAGGGCTAATGCCAAGATGGTCTACGCTTGTGAATGGAACCCCCTGGCTATTGAGGCTCTCCGTCACAATCTTCATGCTAATCTTGTAGCTGACCGATGTGTAGTACTTGAAGGAGATAATCGAATTACAGCACCAAAAGTATGTAATTTAGCTTCCACTGCATCAGTTGTTTTAGCTTCCTTGATATTATAGCTATACGCTTGTATTCAACGGTGTAAAATTATGGATTTATGGATCTTTGTTCGATTACAGGGTGTTGCTCATCGTGTCTGCCTTGGGCTCCTGCCAACGAGCGAGGGCAGTTGGGTCACTGCGGTGAGAGCATTAAGGTCTGTTATCTCAAATGATATGTAGGATTTACCTATCCTAGGAACTTGGAAAAATATATATGCACTTTATACGCACAACCAAGTTGATCAAGCTGTCGACTTGGTAACCATAAGGTAACAATATTGACTCCCAGCAGGAGAGGTCTATTGGCTTTCTTAGTTTGAGCCGGTTAGTTATAGGCAACCTAAGCTAGTTTATCTCATTCTGGTCCTTTGCCGGTTAAGACCACCACAAGGTGGTGTTTATCCCGTGCACATTTTCTGCTAACATTCTTTACAGTCCTTTTCATTATATAGGGGCGAGTATTTCATCTCTAAACTCGTCCATTCAAAATGCAGAGAGGAAGGTGGAATAATGCACATCCATGAGAATGTGAAGGATTCAGAAGAAGCCTCGTGGACGCAGTATGTTTCACGGTCAATCCAAGAGATCGCCCAATCTGAAGGTAGTGTACTCGATTCTCATGACTAAACTAACACATTGCATCCTCAGTATGGAACACGAAGAGGTTTCATCGTAGTAACCCTTTCCATAGAAACTAATGGATTGGATTATGTTCTTAGGCCGCGCCTGGGAGGTATCAGTAGAACACGTGGAGAGAGTGAAATGGTACGCTCCACACATTCGCCACCTCGTTGTAGATTTAAGATGCAGATCCAATGATGAAACGCCACAAGTTACTTGAAGGTATGTTACAGAAGAAGTTTTGCCCAATCTTGATTTAAATGCTCCCTCCACGTTCTTATTAGAGCTTGATACTCAGCCTCACTGTTCAGAACAATGTATTGAAATCTCTTTCTCCACTATCAATATTGTAACAAAATTTTTGAATTAGTTATTAAATTAATTGGTATTTTTGGTTATCAATATGGGCGTTTTGGGTGAATCCTGCTTTGGGACCCTGGTTAACAATCACATTGAGGTAAACCAGCCTAGGTTGTTCATACCTGATTGATTATGAAGTCTGTTTTGTGACCTTAACCTACAAAGGACCACAATGAGGTAAGTCAATGTTATTCCTAGTTACCCGCATGGGCAGCTCAACTGGTCACAGAGGTGAAACTTTGGAAGAATGACCAGGGATCGAGTCTCACCAGCGGCAGTGTGGGAGCAACCTCTCAAAGTGAGGGGTTCTTTGTTTACCATGATTTACATCCTCCCAAATGCTCTGTTGGGTCGGGGTGTGTGGGCCCTTAGGGTGAATGTTATTCCTAGTTAACTGATTTAAATCAAAAAGGTTAATAGAAAGTTCTCACAGGCAATCAGGAACATTTTAGTTACCAAATTAATTGTCCTAGGGGATTTTCTTTTGTAGTTTTTGGAATTGTTTAACATAAACTAAATGAGTGATTTTTTTGATACAATAATACCTTTTAATTGCTAGCATTAACGAATCATGTTACCGTAAAAGGTGGATGTCCAATGGAAGACTCAAAGTATCTGCAAGAGTGCATATTGTCTGGTATCATATATATTCCTTTCAAGTGGTACAAATCATTTCTCAAATTAATCCAAACAAGGCTGTCGAGAAATGGCTTCTCCGGCTTCTTCACCCAGCGTAGAAGTGCCCGCCGGCAATAATGGCGGTGGCGGTGGGGCAGTGCATCGGCATTCAGGCGGGCACACCGATAAAGATATGATGGATGCAGCAAATACGCAAATCATAGTGGCCACTCTAATAACAACCATAGCCTTCGCAGCCGCGTTTGCAGTGCCGGGGAGCTACGAGACCGAAGGTCAACCCAAAGGCGCGCCGATCCTCCTAAAAAATGCCGCTTTCCAAGCATTTCTTGTCACCAACACGGTCGCTTTTGTCTGCTCTCTCGCCGCAATCTTTGCTTTCGTCGTCATGGCCGAGGAAGCGTGGCTTTACAAGAGATCCAAACCCATCGGGCACCTCTACGACTACGCAGGATTTCTGCTTCTTGTCGCTTTGGTGGCAGTAGCCCTTGCGTTCGTTACGGGGAGTTACTCCATTTTAGCGCATGCGCATTCAACCGCCATTGCTGTTATTGTCACTGTCTTGGGCCTCACTTACTTCCCTCTTATTTTTTACGTTTTACGCGTCTTTATTCTAGGGGGAGCGATATCAAATACTGATGAAATACTTGACTAGTGATTTTAGGTTAATGACTTTCAAATTTGTATATTCAGTTGAGTCTCGACTTAATCTTAATATTTATGTATAAAATCAAATAAATTAAGAGGTTACATAATGTGCATTTTCGAATAACTTAACCCGCCCACAGGTGCCGGCGCATGCGAGCTCGGGCTTGAATCAAGCCTTTTCGATCTCTTCTAGTTGGATTTTGATTTGCACCGCCCGCGCGTGAGAGAATCTCTATACTATACAATTTTACAAGCTTCAAATGAGCTCTTGTATATAAGGGGGGCAAATCTTGTTTCCAAATCAATGTGGGACAAAGTCCACTATTTTTCCTTCATTTCCCAACTCAAATAGGTCTACTTTGAGAATCAATATCTCATTCACCCATTATCCGTTTTGAGCGTACAATATATCAATCTCTTCGTCTCACTACGAAAAACCCGAATCTACTTTGACTCAACCAAAATTGGAAGTGGACCCCACTGATAATTGTACCACAAAATAGCCACTTAATATGCCATTTTAAGCTATTTTTCCAACACATAGTTAACTGGTTTAAATAAAAAAGATTAATAGATAGTTCTCACATAGTCATAGGCAATCAGAAACATTTTAGTTACCAAATTAATTGTCCTAAGGGATTTTCTTTTGTAGTTTTTGGAATTGTTTAACATAAACTAAATAAGTGAATTTTTTGATACAATACCTTTAGCTAGCATTAACGAATCACGTCACCGTAATCGGTGGATGTCCAATGGAAGACTCAAAGTATCAGCAACGTAACAGTGCATATTGTCTGGTATCATATATATTCCTTTCAAGTGGTACAAATCATTTCTCAAATTAATCCAAACAAGGCTGTCGGGAAATGACTTCTCCGGCTTCTTCACCCAGCGTAGAAGTGCCTGCCGGCAATAATGGCGGTGGCGGTGGGGCAGTGCATCGGTATTTTGGCGGGTACACCGATAAAGATATGGTGGATGCAGCAAATCCGCAAATTACTATCATAGTGGCCACTCTAATAACAACCATAACCTTCGCAGCCGCGTTCGCAGTGCCGGGCAGCTACGAGACCGAAGCTCAACCCAAAGGCGCGCCGATCCTCCTAAAAAACGCCGCTTTCCAAGCATTTCTCGTCACCAACACAGTCGCTTTCGTCTGCTCTCTCGCCGCAATCTTCGCTTACATCGTCATGGTCGAGGAAGCGATGCTTTACAAGAGATCCAAACCCATCTGGCTACTCTACGACTACTCTGGATTTCTGGTTCTTGTCGCTTTGATAGCAATCGTCCTTGCGTTCGTTACGGGGAGTTACTCCATTTTAGCGCATGCGCATTCAACCGCCATTGCTGTTACTGTCACTGTCTTGGGCCTCACTTTCTTCCCTCTTATTTTTTACGTTTTACGAATCTTTATTCTAGGGGGAGCGATATCAAATACTGAAATACTTGACTTGTAATTTTAGGTTAATGACTTTCAAATTTGTATATTCAGTTGAGTTTCGATTTAATCTTAATATTAATGTATAAAATAAAATAAATTAAGATGTTACATAATGTGCATTTTTGGATAGTAGTCATGGATTTTTTTTTATTTTTTTTTATTTTTTAAACACACACCCACACAAGAGACATATAGACTTACATTTTCACGAGTAGTTATGCTGTGGTGCATACGGATGTAAAAACGACGTCGTTTTATTAAAAACGCGCGTCTCCCCTTAAAAAAAATAAATTAGGTTCGATTCTCAGCAACAACATTATGTTGTTCATTCATTCTGGAATTTTAGTTCATAGATTATGGAATTTTAGTTCATTGATTCTGGAATTATAGTTCATCGATTCTGGAATTGTAGTTCATCGATTCTGAAATGTTAGTTCATAGATTCTGAAATTTTACTTCATTCATTTTGAAATTTTTAGTTCATAGATTAGATTATGGAATTTTAGTTCATCGATTATGGAATTATAGTTCATCGATTCTGGAATTTCAGTTCATATTTTGTTGCTGCGAATAGAACTTGATTTTTTTTTAGAGGGGAGACGCGCGTTTTTAATAAAAGGACGTCGTTTTTGTATCCGTATGCACCATGCATGGTGCATACGGATGCACAGCATAATTTGCCCATTTTCACTAGCACGCCTTTTGCCAACACCCAGCCAACCTGTTAACAATGATCTTTAATTTTTAATACTTATGATTCTTTACAAAGTAGTATTTATTCTATACTTTGTTAAACATTTTCAGTCCAAAGAATCTAAGCTTTCACCATCAAAAGTTGAACTTTGGAATAGTAACCACTAACCAGGATGTCATTACACCTACATGTTAGTTGGCCCGCTAACAATGGCCTATGAGAGTTATTTATGAATTAGGGACTATAATGCAATAGGGCAGTTACAAGCCAATTGCATAACTGGAGTCAAGCTAAAGTGAAAGCCATGATCAACACAATTCGGTTCACAATGCAACCCACAACGCCACAAAGCCTGTCTCAACTCTCAATTGCCCATCACACGAACCAAAACCATCTGGCACATGGCCTACAGGCTACAGCTGCCTAGCCGTTCCTTAAACTAGGTAATGTTAGCGTTTCCACTAGTCTTCCTTGTTCTAGATTAGAGTTAGATTTCAATGTCTAGCTAGCTTTATTTGCGTTCATTATCTTCCTTGTATTTTACGAGAAATGCCCCGCGTACCTGTATTTGTGTTTGGGTATATATATTATTTATATTTACCTAAAAAAATAGGAGTGTCAATCAGTTAATGTGGGCTAACAATTTATAATAATTACTTTTGAAATAATATAATAATTTTTTATATTTTATGATGGGTGAGTGTGTATATATTTATATGTGTTTTATTTTGAATAAATATATTTTAGTTATTATTTAAATACGGATTAATATACGTAGTAGACGACTATATGGTATCACATGATACCTGGTGCCAAAATGTACGTACGACGGTACGAGTAAATGTTAAAGGGTGGTGCGTCACAAGCCAAAACAGCTTAATAGGGGTAGTTGGTTTTGACCATTGACTTATCGCCTTCGATCGAGTTACTTTTCTGACCCGCTATCTCTATTGTTTTTCCAGAAGCTATTCAATGGCACTACCGTAATTTCATCTACCATTTCCATTTCGGTTCCCAACGTTACCATTTAAAAGCAGAGGCACGGACAAGAAGTATTTTCCCGGAGGAATTTTATCAGTTCCCGGAATCATCCTTCCCATTCTGTTCTTATTACAGGTAGTGTTCGCAACCGAAAATCACTCGCCATGTCAACTGCCATTCGCCTGCGTCGACTCGGCACTATCGCCGCCCTTTCCGCCGGAGCGTACGCTCTCCTCCGCGAGCCTCCATTCTCCTCCAATGACCACGCCGGTATGTCTGCCCTTGAGACTGTGCAGCGGAGAATCGCCGACCCCTTCGCCGTCCTGCCTAGCCGAGCAGATCAGGAGGCGGCTTTAATTGGCTCCACCGCCGCTAATCCTCTCGATATACTCGTTGTCGGTGGTGGCGCCACCGGCAGCGGCGTCGCCCTGGATGCTGCCACCCGTGGGCTCCGAGTTGGCCTTGTTGAGCGCGAGGATTTCGCTTCTGGCACCTCCTCCAGGTCTACTAAACTAATTCACGGAGGTTAGCATCTCGATATACATATACATGTACACCTAACACACACATTGATCATGTATACAAGTGCTGTCTATGTTGAACCAGGAAGGAAGAACACGGGGAGGTAGGAAACTGATTTTTAAATAATTTGATACAAGAGCCTGATGTAGTTTAGTTTTCTATATTATGATGTATGTATGTTAGGTGTCTGGGAATTTGGCATTTCTATCATATATAATATTTCGATTCTGTAATCTGCATCAGCTCTATTGGAACTTTGGCGCGGTTTCTCGCTTGATCTTTTGGATGTTACGTCTATCATATGAATTAAGCTATCGATTGGATTTCATAATGGTGATAAGCAACCGTAATCCTTCCTATTGGTTAAATTCTTGAAATTCCCGTGCTGTATTTCATGAGGACTGAGGCATCATTTGATGTTCCTTGTTGAAGCCTATTAGATTCAAAGAGAATGATTTGTGCTAAATCTGTTGTGTATACTTCTGCGTTTCAGAAGGAATTATATTGTGGCCTGATATATTTCACCTATCATCAATATAAGATCACACCCTTCCATTTCAAGTAGAAAGTTCATTGATGATCTTTTTAGAAATTAAAGACAGGAATCATTAAATATTTCATTTGCTTCTCGTGATTTGTTAATTGATGTGGAAAAATTATGACACATTAGTACTGGATTACTTTGTATCTTTTGAAGTCTACCTTTATTTACTTTGACTTCATTTTGCAATATTTTTGCATGTATGCATCTCAATCAGTTTGTTGTATGCTTTAATGTATTACTATTTTACTTGTCATACTCAAAGTGATCCATTTTAGATTTTCTTTCAGTAGAGTTTCTCTTAATCTTCTTATTCCCCCCTTTTGCTTTTATGTCCACTCAAGATTAGACATTTGGTCCAGGAGTCCGCTATTTGGAGAAAGCTGTTTTTAACTTGGACTATGGCCAGTTGAAGCTTGTTTTTCATGCCCTCGAGGAACGTAAACAGGTTATTGGCAATGCTCCACACCTCTGCAATGCTTTGCCTTGCATGACACCATGTTTTGATTGGTTTGAGGTGATATACTACTGGGCGGGCTTGAAAATGTATGATCTGGTCGCAGGACGACATTTGCTGCACTTGTCCAGATATTATTCTGCAAATGAGTCTATTGAATTATTTCCAACACTTGCAAGAAATGGTAAAGATAAAACGCTAAAGGGAACAGTGGTATATTATGATGGACAGATGAATGACTCAAGGCTGAATGTTTCAATAGCACTGTCTGCTGCATTAGCTGGAGCTGCTGTTCTTAACCATGCTGAAGTAGTATCACTTCTCAAAGATGAGAATAGTGGGCGGATAACTGGTGCCCGTATTCGGGACAACCAGTCAGGTACATTAATCTTTATATATTATCTTTTGTTCATAAGAAACAAAATTTTGAGTTTAAATCAGATAGAATTTCTTGCTTACAATGTTTCATAAACTATTTAACCTTAAAATTTGATGTGTAAGTGTATGTTTGAATAGGTTAGCCACAGATCAATTTCTATTGTGCATTGCACTTGGACTCACAGCTCTACAGATTCTGTCTAATGCCTTTTATTTGTCAAAACAAATTGGTAGTCAATCATCTATTTATCAGTATATTGTTGTGCAGTGACATCAGTTAATACTGAACAATAACCAATATCACATATTCACATTTAGTGATTTGTAACCCCAGTAGTTTGCTCTTTTAGATGTTGCTTTTATTAGCTTATGTTGTCTTCTGTTTGAGATCTTACTTTATGTTAAAGTGCACAGGAAAGGAATTTGACACATATGCAAAAGTAGTTGTGAATGCGGGTGGGCCATTCTGTGATTTTGTAAGAAAGCTGGCTGACACCAATGCAAAACCTATGATCTCTCCCAGTAGTGGTGTACATATTGTGCTTCCTGATTACTATTCTCCGGAGGGGATGGGTTTAATTGTCCCCAAAACAAAAGATGGGCGTGTTGTCTTTATGCTTCCTTGGTTGGGGAGAACAGTTGCTGGTACCACTGATTCAAATACAATTATTACAATGCTGCCAGAACCTCATGAAGATGAGATTGAATTCATATTAGATGCCATTTCTGATTATCTTAATGTTAAGGTGTGTTGAACTTTTGCTCCATCATCTTTTATATTACATTGTTTCCATTTTCCTCCACTACGAATTTTTCAGAAAAGCATAGTGCTTACAGTCCATGTATAAATTATACTCCGTAACATTTTCATTTATAATTATGTACTGTTATCAATGGCATCTACTATCCACTATACAGTAGTGCACTCTTCCTGACCATTTTGAATGCACACAAGATCTTGTTCTGGAAACCATAAAATACTGTCTCTTCTTTACTTAATATCTTTTGTTATGTTTATTGTTGCCCTTTTCCCATTTTCTTTCCTTTCTCTTTCTTTTTTGATAGCCCACTTTGTTTTATTCTATCTGAATACAGTTAATGTGATGGTTTAAGTGTTATTCATTTAGTTTTTGTCTAGCATTGTTTGTGAAGAACTTTATTCTGAAATTTAGGTGCGGCGAACAGATGTTCTCTCTGCCTGGAGCGGTATCCGCCCTCTAGCTGTGGATCCTAATGCTAAGGACACAGCTAACATATCCAGAGATCATGTTGTCACTGAAGATTTCCCTGGTTTAGTTACTATTACTGGTGGAAAGTGGACAACATATAGAAGGTATATGGAACAATGTAAATTCCTAAATTCACATAAGCTTTCTCGAAGTATCCCTATCACCTTGTACCTAGTGTATGCTCATATTTACAGGGTTTTACTTTTAATCCTTTGTTAAGCGTTTGTGAATAGTTTTTGCTTACTTGGTACAATTTCAGCATGGCAGAAGATGCAGTTGATGCTGCTATAAAGTCAGGAAAGTTGACCCCAAATAATCAATGTTTAACATACAACCTACAACTCATAGGTGCAGATGGATGGGAGCCTGCATCTTTTACAATCCTTGCTCAGCAATATGTACGCATGAAAAGGTCACATGGTGGGAAGGTTGTTCCAGGCGTGATGGACACAGCTAGTGCCAAACATTTATCTCATGCATATGGTTCTCTTGCTGAAAAAGTGGCTGCTATAGCTCAGGTTTTATTCATTTTGCTTTTCCTTTTTCTTTTCCCAAATTGGATTCTCCCACCTTTTTGAAACCTGTTCAGAACCTTTTCTCCGTGACTGTAAAATTCAAAAAGTTAAAAATTAATTAAAACCCTCCAAGGTACTGTTAAACATGAGAGTTGGAAAGAAAGTTGGACAACCTGCGGCTAATAATTGATAATTACAGGTGTAGAACTGTAGTGTATTGAGCGTATCTCATCTCACTGAACAGCATGAGACTTATTCTTCTATTGATTGGAGAGATGATGCTAGGCATGGGAATCCATCTGTTGACCCAGTGATAGATGTCAAATACTATAACCACTTTTTAGTCATTTCAATCCCTAGTCCTGCCCATCAATTACATGAGAATTCAAGGCTGCATTTTATTTCCTCCAACACCAGCACAACAAAACATGCATACACACCGTGGCAAAACTTGGATTTTCCCTCTTACTATTTTTAGTGTGGCATACCATGAAACTTTTATCTTTCTTCTCAGAATGATACCTATGGAGTCTTTTATTGAATTCTTTCTCTTTGAACTCTCATTCTTGTCTAGATTTAGCCATGCAGATGGCGGATGGTTTTCCTTGTGATAAGTCTATTTTCTATGCTAGTTCCATGATTTTTTTATTTTTATTATTTTTTTTTTCAATACTGCAGAATGAAAATTTGGGTAAGAGACTTGCCCATGGGTACCCTTTCCTAGAAGCTGAGGTTGCATATTGTGCTCGCCATGAATACTGTGAATCTGCAGTGGATTTCATTGCTAGAAGGTGTCGTCTTGCTTTCCTTGACACTGATGCTGCAATACATGCTTTGCCACGTGTTATAGAGATTTTGGCAGCTGAACACAAATGGAACAAGTCCAAACAGAATCAAGAATTCCAAAAGGGAAGGGAGTTTTTGGAGACTTTCAAGTCATCAAAAAATGCACAGTTCCATGATGGGAAGCACACATAACATGTATGTTTCTGTGATTTGAGTGTTATAATGAGCTATTAAGAGCATTATCCATCTCAAACATTACCTTATCTAATCATCATTATATCATCTTTCAGGATATTGGAAAAATATTTGGCAGGGTTTGTATCGCCATACAAAGAAAAGTTATGGATCCTGCCCCTCCTTTTCCAAGCATATATATAATATGATTACTGAAATTATACAGCCACAGCCTCATAGTTATGCTTTTGTCATGCAATGTGAACTTTTGGGATAAGTTAAAGTTGATTTTTGTTTTAACTAATTACAGTTAGGGAATTGCCAGAATAATGTAACTCAATCATATAAACTTGCAGCTCTTTTTCTGTATTCTGTACCAAAAAGGACCAATATTTTGCTTCCTGGTAAATAAATTGTTTTTGGGCTGCACTGCACTTCTTCTTAACAGTTCTGGGCTGAACATACCATATTTTCTTTTTCCCCTTTTCATAAAATATTTTTATGCATCTGTTCCACACGAATGCTTTTTGCATGTGCCTATGGAATTGACTTTTTTAACATTAGTTCTGACTTCATAGAATTTACCCACTTCTCCTCTGAATGCCCTACCGTGTTGTGGCCGACAAAATCAACCTTTGCACTACGCCCACGGTCTCGGTAACCGTTTTCTTGATTTTCAGCGTCAGGATCTGCAAAGACCTGGCTGGCCTGTCCCTTTTCCTACCGTAGTAAAAGAGTTACAGAATACATTGATTAATTTTAGTTTACTTCATTCACCAACATTTCGTAATTTACTTCATTAAGACGTTCGGATTAGCATGCAGTCCTTCAATAATATATTAGAGATAAGGTATGCAGGTGGCATTCTTTTATCCGAGGACGTGGTCAAAGAGGGGAAGTCCAACCCGGCATGCATCCCCTTGAGCCGGCGGGGTGGGGGCGGTGATAGAGACAGAGACGTGTTTGGACAATCTGTCTTGCACTATTGCCGGCAAGCCACGTTAAAGCTCACATGCTGGCAACTACGTACAGTATAATTTAAGCTGTACGAATCTAGTCAATGACAAAAATCCCTTCTAATAATTAGTGTTGGGAGCCGTAGCATTTTTAATTTGTTTCATCCCAAACATCGTTAATTGTTTTTGCATATATACATGTGAATACCACAACTTGGTCGTACCGTGAATTACCATCAACACTATGAATCAATGCAATTATGCAAATTAACACTTGATTACTTGAATGGCCGGGTTGATAATGTTAATTATATGATACCGTTATGTTCAAGTCTAAGTGTATAATTATGAATAAAAGATTTAAAATTTTTATATATGTAATCCTTAGTAAATAAGGTTCTACTGAAATTTAGTGGTCGGAATGTTTTAACATGTCAGGAAATACTAAAGATATATTTTAGGTGGAATCTCTTCTTTTATGGAGCAAGATAGTTTACCGTATTAAGTCAAAGAGCACATGTCGAAATTCTCGCTAACGAGGTTTGGCGCTGATTTCTAGGTTCGTTAGATCGGTCACATTACGTGTTTGTACAAAAATTGATCCTCGACTTTCAATTTCAACCAATTAAGTCCTTAACTTTGCAATTTTAACACAATTTGGTCCACTGTTTATTTGACCGTTTGTTGACTGTGATTTTTGAGGATATATATGTAATTTCATGGTCCAACGTCGGGTTTTTAAGGTTCCGGTTGCATTTTCAGACCGCACTGTTGCATTTGAATCCACTGCCGAAAGCAATCTACCATCCGGTTGTCTTTCTTCATTCTCCCTTTGGATTCAATGTAGTTGAGTTCGTATAAGAGTGAAGAAGACAACGTGTTTCCGAACCGATGCAATGTCATCCTGGAGGCCTCCACGTGCTCTGACGAGAGCTGAAGGTTCTTCTGGAGATCGTCGATCACGGTCAACATATAGTCAAATAGATGGAGGACCAAATCGTGTCAAAATTGCAAAGTTAAGGACTTAATTGGTTGAAATTGAAAGTTGAAGACTAATTTGTGAATTTAGCTATAGTCGATAGACCATTTTAGATATTTACTCTTAATAATATGGTATTTTATCGACTAAAATTATAATATGATATTTACTGAGTACATACCTTGAGATAATAACTGTGAGTTTCTCTCAATAATTATCATATACGCATGTCACATCAAATGTAAATCAATGCAATGTTGTCATCCTACTTTCTTGATAATCAATTGTCACCTTTTTACCTTTTCCGGTATGATTGATCTCTAAAGAGGCTATCAAGTTCACATTTTTGTTGGGTGCGCGCCCGAATGGAAGAAAGAAACCCCACCAAAAAGCTACATCTCTTTCTGTTCACTTTGGTACCTTAGATCTTAATTCTTCAATTATTCAAATCAAATTACAAAAACATCTACAAGAGACAATCAATCTACTATTCCTCATTTATGTCCCTACAACATCTATAAATTGTTAGTTGAATATTAAAGGGGAAATCATCCATCAAATATTTTCCAAGTTTCAATGTAGTTTATAGTTTTCAATTTAATTTCAACCAATTTGATTCTCGAATTGTTTAAAATTTTATCAATTAAACCCTTTCAGGGATCAAATTAATTGAAATTTTAAATATGTAGAAATCACCGTTTTGGTCCCTAAAACGGTTTAGTTGATGAAAATTTAAACAATTCGATTATCAAGTTAGTTGAAATTGAAAACTAGGGACTACATTGACAATTGAAAAATAATTGTGGGATCAAAATGATGATTACTTCAATATTAAAGATCAAATTAATTTACCTAATTATCATATTAAATCAAATATATTTTAGTATCATTTTTTATATGTACCAAAATGGCATATTTATCGATTTTTGTTAATATCATCTTGCTCGAGTTCATAGCACATGATGTGTTTTAAAAATTTGCGAATTATATATATATGAGTAAGGTTACTCGGGGTGATTGTGAATTTTTCTTTATGGGCATATTTGTTACGGAGTAATATAAAGGGGCACATATTTATTACCTTTTTAATTTCTTATTTATGGTTGTGGATTCTAATATATTTATATATATCTCCTATTCCTATATGAGATCAAAGGTTGAAGAATAAATATTCAAGATTTGGTTGGATAATATTATTTCATTCAAGATATCATAATTAAAATGATTTTATCTCAATAATTCATATTAATTCAAAAATAGTTTTAAAATGACATACTTGTAAGTTGTAACTAGTTAAATGATACTGTAATTTATTTTAGAATCGTGTTAAAGTATTATCTATTTTTCATCGTATATTCTTTAAAATCGCGTGAAAATAATAGTAGTGAGAATACTTTACATTAATGAAGCTCAGTAATGAGTGAGAATCGCGGAAGAGATGTCAAAAGTAAAGCGGGAATTCATTTATGGAAACTTTTTCCTTTCAATCAACGAACCGTACGTGCCGGCCTCACCTCTCTCTCTCTTTCCTGTTTCTCTCCAGTGTAAAAAGAACATCTCATTTTATGTTGAAAAAATCTTTCTCCGTTCCCGAGTACGAAAATGGCGTTGTCGACTTCTAATGGGCGACCATCATCGTCACACGGCGGGAGGTCCGAAAGGCTTACTCCTCTTCTTCCTCCTCCCCCTGCCGCCGCTTCCTCTTTCAGAGCTGGTAATGGCGTTGCAGGACAGCAGCACCAGTCTTATTCTCGTTCCAAAGCTCCTACTACTACTACTAGTACTTCGAGTTCTAGACGCTCTGTCACTCCTACTTCTCGAACTCGCTCTCCCGCATTCTCCCCCTCGCTGGACAATGATTCAGGTCGCTCTCTGTCTCCTCAGAATTTACTGATCTGGGAGTTTAATTTAACTTGCACTGTATTTCACGGCCGTTTATATCTCCATTATGAAATTTATCGGAGTTGTTAAAATTTGCATTTATGTTTCCATTAGAGCAGAAGGTTTTAGAATTACTATTCCTAAAAATGTCTAACTCTAGAAAAGGACATATCAGCATTGGACTGTGGAGGATTCGCATGCTGTTTCGTAAAATGTAGCTTAAATCAGTGATTTGAGCCTAGAGTTAAATTGTGCTACACTATCATAAGCATTCCATAAAATGTTTTTACAGAAGTGTTGCTTTTGCATTACTAATGCTGTAGGCATTTGAGTGAAAATAGTAGTTAGAATCGTATATAATCATCCTAGGCTCGTAGTACCAGTAAGCGCACTGAGGTATAGATTTTTGATAAAGTAGTTCTCACATATTTCATTTCCTATTCATAGATTAACACTATGTAAGATCTTTTGGAAATTTCCTTTCCTAGTCATAGATCAACACTGTGCAAGCTCTTCTGGAAATTGGTTACAGTTAGTTATGGAGTATTTCTATTACAGAACCTGGAAGAGTCAGAGTTGCTGTCAGACTTCGACCTAGAAATGCTGAGGATGTTCTTACAGATTCTGATTATGCTGATTGTGTTGAAATGCAGCCTGAGGTGATTGATACGTGTTCTGATGGTTTAAACTCCCCCACTCTCTCACCCCCCCTTTTCTGTTGTGGGGACATGGATGTGTTTCTTTGTATCTTATGACATATGTTTTCTTTTGCACATATATTTATAAAATGTATTTTCCACCTCGTAGCTCAAGAAGTTAAAGATGAAGAAAAACAACTGGAGTTCTGAGTCTTACAGGTTTGATGAAGTCTTCGCAGAAAGTGCATCCCAAAAGCGTGTTTATGATGCAGTAGCAAAGCCAGTAGTTGAGGTAAAAAGATTTAGAGCCCAATAAAGTACCAAGATTTTTCATTCAGACTCTTCATAAGCCTTTGTGTATGTGTTTCATGAACTGTTCTATGGTGTGCTGTGGGAACCAATGGGCATGCCTAATGAACTGTTATAGAGCACTAAAGCACTTTGACATTTGTGAAGCAATATGTTGGTCAACTTCCAAAGGTTGGTTTAACATTGCTAGGATAGTTGCTATCAAGTTGAGACTGCTTACTGGTGCATTCCCATCCAATGTTACCCTTGAAGACAACACTACTGATAAAAGTCAAGACTTATAATAGTTTGTGGACGAAGCTAAAGTTAATACCATTAGAAGTTACCTGTCTTCTTGTTTTCAGTAAGAAGTTTTATTTGATTTCAGAAACAAGTTAATTAACCTATTAAACTATACTGGTCCTAGATGTACCATGGACACCATCAATGAATCTGTTTGCAAACTTCAATTATGGAAAGATCATTGGTTTTCAAGAAATGGTGACCCACTGAGGCACTGACCCTTTTGTGTCCGCTTTTTATGGTTAGTGGACTGTCTGGGTCCAAATGAATTGTTGGACACTGAAATTGAAATACCACTTTAGGCTAGGGAGTAAAATGGAGTTCTGCAAATGAACAATGTGAATTATTGATGTTAGTCACCGTCTCTCTTTTGCTTATACTATTTGATTGAATGCATACTTCTTTCTTGAATAATATTTCTTTCTAATAATTATTAATGGTTGATTCACAATATTTTTTTATTGCACATATTAATACCTAATACATTTGGTGCAAGCAAACAATTTCTCAAGGGCTTATAAATTAGAACTTTGGGTCTAGTGCTGTTCATTGTACTTTCAGGAGTATACATTTCTTTTAGTACCTAGATGGCAGATCATACTCATAGCCCGTAAGCAGAATGCTGCTGCTGATCACTTAGCAAGATTGGCAGCATTGACTGCTTTGGGTCTGCGCCTTCTGAGTCAACCACCCAATGATCTACTGGAGATTATAGAAGATGATGCAGTCAGCATTCCTGTTTGGCGATTGCTCCCTAGCTTGTATATAGTTTTATTGGGTGTCCCCCTTCCTATAGATCAAAAAACCTGCACTGAATATATAATGTTGGTTGTGCTAGCATAAATATTTAGAAAGTAAAAGCAATTTGATATGCTTTTGCAGAGTGTGTTGGATGGGTATAATGGGACAGTAATGGCTTACGGTCAAACAGGTACTGGCAAGACTTATACGCTTGGCCAACTGGGTAAAGATGATGTGACTAAGCGTGGCATCATGGCTAGAGCATTGGAAGACATAATTGTCAATACATCTCCTGAGACTGACAGTGTGGAAATTTCCTATCTTCAGGTAATTGAACTAGACTAATCAGTATTTTTCACAAGCAATCAACTTGTAACAATGAAATTTATGGTGAATGAGATTATTTTTTGTTGTACTGTATCAATTTTTTGTTAACTGAAAATCTCATTGTTCAATCAGTTGTACATGGAATCCATACAAGATTTGCTTGCTCCTGAAAAGATAAACATCCCAGTTGTTGAGGATGCAAAGACTGGAGAAGTATTGGTTCCTGGTGCCACTTCGGTTAAAATTCAGGATCTTCACCATTTCTTGCAGCTATTGCAAACTGGAGAAGCTAATCGTTATGCAGCAAATACAAAGTTAAATACAGAGTCATCACGTAGTCATGCAATTCTTATGGTATGCATTTCCTCATACCCTCAGCCAAGTCTCCTTCAGGGTTCTCCAATCCTGGATTTCCACAGAAAGTTTCAACTCATGGCTTCTTAGTAAACAAGCCAGGAAACTTTTCATTTTTCTCTCTTTTATTTTATTTTAATTTTTTATTATTATTGAAATTTCATTGCCTATTAAGTATGAGGCATGCCACATACAATTATTATACAATATGAATCATGGCAAATGAATAAGTAAGGAGGGCACTAGTAGTTCTTCATGAAAGAACAACTGAGGTGAAAATTTTGAATCTGCATTCATTTAGCTCTTTATATACAGGTTTCTGTTCGGAGATCAGTTAAAAACAGAGAAGAAAGTGACTTCTCTTTCAAAGAGAAATACAGCAAAACTGATAGGCATGGCAATGATATACCTATAGTTCGGAAAAGCAAGCTGCTGATAGTTGATCTTGCAGGGTCTGAGCGATTAGACAAATCTGGTTCACTCCCTCTTCATGATGATCTAAATTTCTATCTTAGCCTTCTACCCAATGTCTATATTAAATTTATTTTCTTTCTTACTGATACTTTTTATATCAGTCTTCATTATTAATGTGTTTCTGAATGGCAGCCTACCACTATGTCTAGCTGATTGTTGGTCCAAAAGTATGAACTAATTGTCATTTTTTCATGTCGCAGGAAGTGAAGGTCACATGGTGGACGAGGCTAAATTTATTAACCTGTCACTTACTTCTTTGGGAAAATGTATAAATGCAGTGGCTGAAAATAGTCCGCATATACCTACAAGAGATTCTAAGTTAACAAGACTGCTACGTGATTCATTTGGAGGTAGGTCCTATTTCTTTATCTTGTTATGAGTTCAATGTGAAGTAAGATTTCTGCATCTGTAGTGTTTGTTTCTCCATAATTACACTATGTTTCTCCTCATTTGGAGGTAGGCACTATGATCTTTTGGATGGAAATTGATACAAATTAATGCAACAGGTTCTGCAAGAACATCACTTATTATAACAGTTGGGCCGTCTTCTCGACATTATGCAGAAACCTTGAGCACAATAATGTTTGGACAGCGGGTAAGTTTGTTATTCCTTCATAAATTGTCTTTTACTTCTGTAAGCCAATCTAACACTTCCTTGCCTTAAAGTGCATTTGTGCTGATCTAAGTTGTCATTTACTTGCATAACTCGTTTTTTGTTTGGTACTGATGTCACTTGTTTTCTACTTGAGTCTTTCAAAACATAACAACTTTTCCCTAAGTTGTGCAGGCCATGAAAATAGTGAATACAGTGAAAGTAAAAGAGGAATTTGATTATGAAAGCTTGTGCCGGAAATTAGAGACTCAAGTTGATCACCTCATTGCACAGATTGATATGCAACAGAAGTTGAGATCAAATGACCAAATTGAAATAAAAAGAAAGCTTAGAGACTCTCAAACATTGTTTGCTGAAGCAGAAAAGAATTTAGTTGCCAGGTCTGAGGTAGTTATTTAACCTTTCATTCTCATTTCGTTTGAATATGCTTGAATGTGGAAAGAGATTTGTGTACAGGCCATTGTTATCACAGCTTTATTTAATACATAACAGCTGCTGATGAACTGATATGCTTCATATGCGAGTGCAGTTTCTGGAGAAAGAGAATAACCATTTACGATCAGAAGTTGAAGATCTAAAAAAGGAACTGAGCAGTCAGAAAGACCTAAACAGTTTAATACACAATGAGATTGCACACCTAGAATCAAATGTAAAGAAAAGCAAGGTATGCGGCCAGAGTAACTTCTTAATCTCAAACATTTTCATTACCCCCTTCCTCTCATTTTGCTAATGTTCTGCTGATTTCTCATGCTTCATAATTTTGTTCTATTTAAATGCAGTTCCTGGAGAAGGAGAATACTCGTTTGGAGTCAGAGCTAAAAAATGTACTGAAAGATTTGAATGAACATAAAGATCACAATGATGTGATGCGTGATAAAGTTGCACATTTAGAAATAAATTTAAAACATAACAAGGTATCTGTGAAATTATACTTCTATTCTTCAAATAGGTGCCTGTGTATATATATGCATATGGAGTTTTATTCTTCGACTGAGGCAAAGATCCATTTACTGCTTTTATTAGGCTAGATTGAGGCCAGTATCATGAACGTGCTTGTCTAGTGATTTAATGATATTTGAAATCCCATATGCCTTCAGTAGTATTGTCCTCAGAGTTCATTAACTCCTTCCTAGGGCCATGCCTTCCAGAACCACCTCCACTCAACTCAAACCTTGCCCCATCTAGCGGGTTTGATTGAGTGAATGCCAACCAGAAGAAACATAATAATATTGCTTGCTTGAATACTGGAAGATCTATCCTTGTTTCTTTTCTTTTATCCCTGCCCCAACTTGCCTCAGCCTAGGCTTGTACTCCTCCAGTTGATGAAGGAACTAATTACTTGTTTCAATGTTAGTAGCAACACCAGCTAGAAAGTTCAACATATCAGAAAGTACTTGCTGACACTACCCAAATGTACGAGAAGAAAATTGCCGATTTGATGAAGCAATTAGAAGATGAGCAAGCTCACTTTAGGAGAGTGGATAAACAGCAACAACTGATGAAGGAGCAATTAGATGATCTTCAGAACTCATTGCAGGTTGATCAAATATTCTATATACTGGAAAGTCTGGCATTCATTCTCATTTAGTACACATCTTGTCTTGATTATCCAGTCTTGATTTATTGATCTTGTATGGATTGAGATATTTCCGAACAGTTTTTAATTTTGGTTGAAATGTTGATGTGGTCTAACATTAAAACATTAACCTAAACTCTTAAGTTTACCCCCAATGGCCCGATGTTCCCATATTGAGACAAATATCCAGACAGCATGGATGCCCAAGTCTGAGTAACATAGATTTTAAATATTGGTTTTTGGTTCATTTTATCATCTTAAATTTTCATGCTGATAAAGTTATGGAGAAAAATATGATTGCTTTGTCCCCCAGCAAATGGGGAAAATCTGACTATTGTTTCTTCATTTCAAACATCAGATGGAAAATACCAAATATCAGAAGGCCATTTCAGACACTACCAAGACTTATGAGGAAAAGATAGCAGGGTTAGTCCAACAGCTAGAGGATGAGGGTATTCGTTTTAAAGATGTTGAGGGACAACTAACTATAGCAAAAAGGCTTCTTGATGATCATAAAAATTCATTCCAGGTAAAGTATGCACAATCTTCACCATGCATTCATTTAAATGATTGAGACTAGCAAATTTTATTGTACTATAAATATATCAGATCTACAACTGATCCTGTTTTCTCCTCTTAATGTCTTTCTCTCCAATTCTAGATTCAATCAGAGAAAGAGGTCGAAAGACTTAGACTGGCGTTACAAGAATTGCATCAGCTGCATGAGACAACTGCCATTGAACTGCAGACACTGAAAACAAAATATCAGGATCTGCAATTCGAGAAGGTGTTTTGTACTTTTCCTTGCTGTTACCAGAGTCCAATCAGAAACACCAATCCCCCATCTCTCCTCACACCTCCCCACCCACACACACACACGCACACAATATGAAATAAAAGGAAACAAAAAGAACACCAAGAAATGAATAATAACCCACCAAACTGTTGAATGAAGGATGCCTCTGGCTGACAAGGTACTGACTTCACCTGTGGCCTTCTGAATATTGATTGTCAGGAATCAGTAAATAGTGAACTTCATTCTCTGAGGCGAACACTTCAAGTCAAGGAAAAGCCTAAGAGTGCTGAAGATGAGCTGCTTAGTTTAAAGAAGGCTGTACCTGAAAGTGAAGATGCATTTGATGTGAGTGGTGGCCATAAACTATATTTACTTGATAAATTATCTTGATATGAACATTTACACTCACTTTTTTGTAGGAAAAGAAATCATATACAAAGCAATGTGCTGCAAAAGGCTCTTTTAATATGCATAGATCTTGTCAATCAAGAGAAACAACGTTGGCCCACAGGAACACTGTGGCAAAGATAATTGAAGAAGGTAAGATTCTTCAAATATTTGTGTGTATGAATGTATTTATTTTGTAGAACACTACATCAATTACCCCAAATTTAGATATAATGAAATTTCATTTCCAGGAAACCTAAAACCTAGTCTCTCACCTAATTTGTAGACCTAAACTTATTTATAGATAATTAACAATCATCTTTCAATATTTCTCCATGACAATTTACTAGAATATATGCCTTTTTTGTTCAGTTGGCCTCCAGAAGCTAGTATCACTATTAACAGCTGGGGATTTGGAAGTCCAAATTCATGCTGTCAAAGTGATAGCTAACCTTGCTGCAGAAGGTACACAAATGCTGTGAGTCAATTGTATAGTCTTATGGGAGGAAGAATAGATTAATACTGAGTTGACAGTTGCATGTGAACAATGTCAAATGTTTGGATCTTTTGCTAATTGGCTATCTTTGAAGCAGAAAATATACATGGGAAAGATAATTCCCAGATATGCATGGCAAAAGCTTTAAATTGAGGATTTTAATACTGGCTGCTTTGTACCTTTGGTTGTCTTACATTTGTCTTGCGTATCATGTCTCCACTATCCATTGCACAGTGAAGAGTGAAATTTATTTCGTATTCTGGGAGGACTAACGGATGTTGTATTTTCAGTTCTTATGCAATTTCAGTTCTAATATGTAAAACTCTCATTTCAGACAACAATCGGGAAAAAATTGTGCAGGAAGGGGGCCTAGATGCATTGCTTATGCTGCTGCAATCATCAGAAAATGCAATCATACTCCGAGTAGCTTCTGGCGCAATTGCCAATTTGGCAATGAATGGTAACTCATGGTTTTCACTTTAAAAAAAATTCTTGTGTATACTTCCTATATCTCCATTTCAACCTCATGAAATCAGGTGATGAGTTAGGTAAAAAATGAAAAATTATCATTATAATTTAAAAATTAATTTACATTCTTAAATTCAATGGTTCAAATCTCTTTAACTATCAGGTGATATAACAATACTCAAAAAGGAAATAAATACTGTAGGGAGGAAAAGCCTTCTGAAACTGGGCTTGTTTGAGATGTCTGAGTGGTGTGGTTTTCATATTTGAATATTTCAATATTCTTCACTAGCTCGAATTGGGGGCCTTCTACAAATATGGATATTTTGGATGCATGATGTAGGAGTATGGTGAATTACATTAAATTACATCCTCTCGAAGATCTGATTTTTTTTCCTTCCTTTTTCAGAGATGAACCAAGATTTAATAGTAAGTAAAGGAGGTGTTAAACTTCTGGCAAATACAGCTTCTAGAACGGATGATCCCCAAACCTTAAGGATGGTTGCTGGAGCAATTTCAAATTTGTGTGGAAATGGTACTATCAAGGATCATATTATCTGACATTTGTCTGCACTCTAATTTAATCTCCCTCCAATTTTGCTTATTATTATGCTGCTGAGTTCATGCCATGTAAAACTGTTAATGCAAAAGCGTGGAGTCATTGCTTAGCACGCTTTATGTTTAATCGAATTGAAACATATACATACTAAAATATGAAGCCATGCAGTATGGATGTTCTCAATCATTTGCATGAAACACCTATACTTAAAATGGGAGACTTTTCATGACAGAAAAGCTACATGTTATGCTGAGAGAGGAGGGGGCTATCAGAACCCTTCTGGAAATGGCTAGATCTGGGAACATCGATACTGTTGCTCAGGTTTCCAGAGGATTGGCCAACTTTGCAAAGTGTGAATCTCGAGGAACTATCCAAGGTACGGTCTTAATGCTCTTGGTTTATGAATGTGTATATATGGTCTACTGTATTTGATCTCTTATCTTTTAATGCTTAATTTTTTCCAGGGCATAGAAGAGGGTGTTCGCTTCTTCTGGAAGATGGTGTTCTGGCATGGTTGATCACCAACTCCAATAATGCCTCTGCAACAACTCGGCGCCAGATTGAACTAGCCCTTTGCCATTTAGCGCAAAATGGTAAAAGCTTTGCTCAGAAATTGTTACACGTGATTCTTGCTTGATGATTTCAGTTAATTCATTTTAGTTTATTGAATACTGCATGGAGATCAAATGGTAAATCTAGAAAACAGATTATAGTAAAAATATTGCTTATTGGGAAACCATAAACTGTCTAGTACATGTCCCTAAACATAGTATGACTTGGGGTGTTACAGATGACAATGCCAAAGACTTTATATCAAGTGGGGCGTTACAAGAACTTGTACGGATATCAAATGAATCTGTTAGAGAGGATATTCGTAATCTGGCGAAGAAGACATTGAAGTTGAACCCAACATTCCAATCTCAGATACATGTCAAATGAACAAAGTAGTGAAGTACCCGCAAGGAAGGAACACTGATTATTGAGTCCGTGTTAAGCTAAAGCTATTACAGTGTACAAACTAGGTCTCCTTTTTTACTAGACATTAAACAGAATCAGGTTGAAACTTGCAAAAATTGTAAATGAAATCTGAGAGATGAACCATCTGATTTAATTTGCAAATATTGTTATACCCAATATAGTCCCAAGTCTTGCAACTGCATCTGATTTAATTTGCCGCCATTTCTAGTTTAGTTGGATGGTATATTGGTATTTTGTTGTTGAAGATTGAAATAATTTTCTATACAAGTTATGAAGTTATCAACAACGTTCATTTTGGGTGGGGGGGAGAGGGTGTCCCTTCCAACTAGAAATCTTGATTAGTAAATAATTATGGCTAAAGTTCCATTTAAATTTACAAAAATGGTAAAGGATTGTTGGAAAATTTGAACTTCAGCAATGAGTAAACTCTGTATTACCAACTTAAACGTTTCACACAATTTGTTACACACCTATATAAAGCAAATGCCCCTACACTACCCTAAGACAAAAAGGGGAGAAAATTTGATGCTACAACGACACGACTAAAGTAAAATGGCATGATGATACGCAGACAACAATGCGAACTCAATTATACATGGAAGTTTGCCTCGACGATGCAACTGGCACAAATATACAATATTCCTGTACAACCATAAAATGTTCTTCCTCGACAAACATTGCAATCGATAGACAAAGAATCTGCAAGCACAGCACTTCTCAAGAAGATTACCTGGTTGGAATTCTAGTGAAGTAATATCTCAGATAGACGTGCCTCTGCATCAGCTGGAATATCTCTTCCTGGAACCTGGACCTTTAGAAGACTCGAATACCTGCAAAAGATTTATTTTAATAACATATTTGACTCATTCTTTGAATATGTATGTTTCCATCATAACTCACTCTGCAGTTGTAAACAGGTGCTCATGCTCGCTGATGAATGCAAGTATGGCCTGGGTAAAAAGTAATAGTAGTGAGAAAATAGGTATTTGCCGCCAGAGAAGATTGAAATGAGTAAAACGACTTTGATAATCACCTCAAATGGCATGTTTAGTAGTTCATAATATGTTCGGACACGATCTAACCTCAACTGCACAGCTTCACTGTCAATTGAGGGGATAGCTGCAAGAGCCTAAAAATCAAACAGAAGAAAACTCTTAGCCAATCAACTTTTAACTTTAAATTGCTAAAATGATGTAGATTGAGAACTGCCATGCTAATCACTCCTGATTACAAAACAAGGAAAAAATGTCAACCTGTTCCAGTGCTATTGAGTTGCGACATATCTGTTGAACTCCAAATAGGTTGATAGATTTTATTTCGGTTAAAGCCTGTTAGCCAGTGAAATACCATGGCTATCAGTAAGTGAAACAAAATTCAGTTGTATAATAATAATGTAATAAGAATGAATGTTTAACATGCAGACCTTAATGGAAGCATTAGCTGCAACACTGCATATTCCGCCAAAAATATAGCTCCTCTTTGATCCTGTGATGAAAGGTGACATTTCCTCATCTCGCCGTGTTATCTGTAACGCACGAGATAGACGAAAGGTGAAACATGCTGTAAGTGTTGCATAAGATAATGAAAAATAACAGACTCCACCTGGTACAAACGGACAACAATATTTTGCATTCCTTCCAAACTATAATACAACTTTAAGCAATTGGAAGCAGAAAGTGAAATGCAAGGTAGGGTTCTCCTAGTGATTGCCACTAATTTTCAGGGGCTCAACTTCTCAATAAAATGCAAAGGATTTTCAATGGCATACAGGTTAACATGTCTATCTAAAGGTTTCCATTAAGGTTGTTAGCACCACATGGTAACTAGATGCTTTAATGCCAATCCCAATCTTCAGGCCTCTTACTTTAGACCTACAAACATGCAGTCATAAGCAAATGCAGGACTCTTTATTGCATAACCCAGCCCACATGGTAAAAAGAAAGCGACATTACTGCTACCATGCAGCTCGCTTTATATGCTACATCACCCGTCGTTTTTGAGGCACCCCAACCATATATTGATGCATAATACTTTCCCTCTACTTTTTGGTTCTCACCTAAATATTTAAAGGACACTTCAAGAACATTCCCCTTATCCACCTCCCAAGGGAAGACTTCAAACTTCTAAGTATAAGAACATTAGGCATTTCAGAGAGGAAAAATATCAGCAAAATGTAAACCTTAAGAACCGAAGAGAGTAGAGAATGAATGTGAATGAACTGGCAATATTAAAAAAACCTGGTAAATGATTAAAAAGGACAAAACCATCTACTCAATAAAGCAAGAGCGGTTCTTATAAGTCAAGTGAGGGAACTATCTGATTTCTTTCTGGTGGAGGATTGGAGAGAATTGCACTTACCAGGGATGTTAATGAAATTACATAATCATCAGGCTCCTCTGCATCTTGGTCATCCAGATAGTCCCTACTTGTCATTTCCTGTATACAGTAAATTTATAAATAAATAAATAAATAAATAAAAACCAACCTTGACTGATTGTAAATATAAACAGTTTCATAATCTCTCTCCCAAATGAATCACAGGGCAAATGAGTAACACATGTGACTAACCTGCATGTGGAAAATAGTCTCCAACTGCATTTCTATACGCAGAATCTTGAGGCAATCTACTGCTAATTTTCTATATTCTTCAGCAAATGTTGCAAGATCCTTGGGAAGGGAGCTAGTTGTTCTAGAATGTTTGTGAGTTTTCGTATTCCCATTCTCCTCCATTTGAGTAGTTTCTCGGCTACACGTTTTTGCGAGCCTGATAATTAAACAAGACATTTACTCAATAATGTCAATATAAAAGTATATATTGCAAAGAAACAAATTCTGGTAGTAAGCACACATATATTTCTCTTGCATCAGTGGGAATGGGGGATTTGAACTACTGACCTATAAATGATAAATCTAGGAGCCTTCATCTTAGGCAACTAACTCAAGGATCATTGAAACATGGATTATTTCTATGTTCTTCCAATTGCTTGGAACATTATCAGAAAATATGCTTCAAGAGACAATTTGAGGATAACAAGATACACTAAATTTCAGCCTAAAATTAACAGGATCAGCCACTCAGCTACAGAAGATTTGCTTCTCTAGTTGCTTTAGAAAGTATCTTGCTCACCATCAAGTAACAATTTTCATATAATTCCTACTTAACACGGCCAACTTGTTTTGCTGCTTCTTTCATCATTAGTGAGTATATTAATGTTCAGTTTTTATGTGTATACCATTAGCCTTCAAGGTGAACTCTAGGTCAGTATTCAATACGAAGAGGAAGACATCATCTCTATCTGGATGTCAGTAACTTGTATATGAAGGGAAACAAGTGGAATCTCACACTGCATTCTGCTGATGATGTGATTTGTCTAAAGTGCACAGTTTATTGAACCTCATCCATAAAAAAGTCCATAAAAATATGATACTTAATGCAAGAGCATACATCTATCAAGTAGATAAGACAATGAAATGGGTGCAGGAACACATTTCCTCTTTCTGCCACCAAATAATCTTATAACATGACTACACGAGCATAAACTATATTCCAACCCAAAAAACAATATGCCTCAGAGGCTATTAGAACTTGCCTTTCTATTGAGTCTGCAACAAATTCCAATGAATCGCTCAAGGATGCCAACAGAACAAGTTTGTTGTCATCACGAATCAAGTTTTCCTGAAAAAAAAAAAAAAGAAAAAGAAATTGATAATAGTAGTTTTTGCACCCATCATTTTGGCTTCCTGTGTGTTATTTAATATGCTCATTAGTCATTTTGGTTTAAATGACTAATTCAAACCATACCAGACATGATTGGCTAGTGGTTAAATTAATGCTCTTCTCTTCAACTCTCGGTCTATGCTCCATTCCACCTCCATCAACCCACCCCACCCGCACAAACCAATATTTAGATAGATTATTGCACTTAACACGCCATGTCTGTGAAACTTGGATGCCAAAGGTCCCAAGAGCATACAATTAATTCAAGAAATGGCCTTAAAATATACCTGCTTGATTGGCCTCAACTTCAGTAATACATCACTTATTTCCATCTCAACCTCTGAATCCTCAGCACCAGAAGCAGTATTTTCTGAGCTTGCGTAACCAAGAGAACTTGGTAAACATGCACTAGCTGGATCAAGTCGCATAAGATTTTCAATATCATGTCTTCCAATGAGCATATAACTTTGCTTTTCAAGAACTGCCTGTTAAATAACCAAGTCACATGAGGTAGTCATCATAATCTCCTCGTAATCTATTCAGATGATAAAAATGTTATTCTTAATCAGAAAAAGCAATGAAACAATCAAGAAACTTAATAATTTTACACAAGACTTCTCTACAGATTATGGCTTGCATATTAATGGCATCAATAAGGAATGGAACAGAGTGGCTAACTTCATATTGAGGGACCATAAACAGTCAAGTTTGGTGTTATAGGGGTCATAGTGTCAAAGAGGATAAAAGATAGAGACCAAAAGTGGAATATATATCCTTATGTCTTGTTCATTGTTATTATGACACCATCAGTATTTTCAAGTCGCTTTAACACAGCATTGTCTTAATCTGGCAATATTTCTAGGCAGAAATAAAGAATAGGAGTTGAGTAAAAAAAAAAAGAAAAAGGAAAATGCAGGTTTGGAAAAGATTTTTCCACCATACTTGTCATGGATAATGCTTATTAAGCCAGTGGCACCTACTTAAAATTAAATTGTAGTGAACCCCACTTAATTAAAAATAAAATAAAAGACTAGATAGAGAACATGAAGTAAATGGAATAACTTGCCTCCATGTATGAAGTTCGGCATCTTTCGTATGTCCTTTCAAGAAAAGTTTGCACATAGTTCACAAGATCAGCCGCAAATTTAGGCATTGCCTGAGCCCAGCCAAGCACCTGCGTAAAAAGACTAAATTTCAGTACAAGAATTTGATCATTTCAATTAAACTTATAAACCAGATAAAGAATAAGAATAAGACAGCCCATGTCAGAGTGAAATAGAGACAGTTCAAGAAAAAACATACCAAATCAAGCAAAGTGTTCTCATTTATATTAATTTGTTTTCTTCAGGTTTTCGAAGTGAATTGAAATGAAACTTTCATTCTGCCCAGTTTGTACTTTCCAAGAGTACAAGCATAAGTTCATAAATCATAACAAGCTCAAACCATGTAACAGCTTAAAAATCTACAGAAATAATTAACAGATACCTCTTTCGCTAAAAAGTCTATTGCCAAAAGTCCTTGTAACACAGGTCGTCCTTTCTCAATTGATGAAGAGTAAGAAGTAGCAGCTTGTGCTCGTGGCCGAAATGCAGCTGGGCCTGTAAAGCAATAGTTTAGAATAGCAATTTGTGGTAACCATTCTTGTACATATAATAATCTGTAATTGATTTATGTCAAAGAAATAATTACACAAACATCACGTTTAGCTTTGTTGTGTAGTAGTAGGTGATCAAACTATAGTGGATGCTTATACTAGCATCAATAGTCATTTGTTAACCTGTATTTCTTCATATCAAGACATAATTGCTGTATTCCATAACATTTCTAGAACACGTAATATTGATGCATGATGCCCAATTTATACTTGTAATTAGCACACTATTTCTTTCTTAGGGGTAGCTGGTATCAACTAAGGTAAATTGAGAGAAGTGTCATAGGACTTACTTGCTATGGCCTGTTGTACAGCTTTCCTGTAATCTACAAACATTGCTGGTAAGAAGTGATCCTTCACAAAGTTCTCAACAAATGCTAGCAACCCATCATTCCTGCAAATGTCAATTGCATTATAACTATCAACAGATATCTTGCATTAGACAATGAAGTAAAAACATAGCAACATACAGTTGATGTTGACTTCAGACCCCTTAATCTAATGACCTTTGAGTTTCTAGCATGTGATTTAAAAAAAAAAAAAAAAAAGTTTGCACAACCTCTTAGTTTTTTAACACATTTCTAATTAGTCCCTAATATTCTTTTTTGCATCATAACTTGCACGAAAATATGAAACTCAACTTTACTGGAAATACTTGACTAAGCCAATCCATAGCCACCCATTTCTATATTCTCTTTCTACTCAACAAAACCCTTGACAAGATCAATCCAGAACATTGATCTATTACTGTTTTCTACTTAACAAAGCCCTATGTCTCCAAGGCTGTCACCAATCCAATACATAAAAAATTCAATTGCACAGTTACACCAAACTTCCTTCCCTAGCTGCCCTATTATGTCTTTGTGCAATTCTGGCTTTCACCTTCCATCCACCAAACTGCAACATTTCGTGTCCTCTCAGTAGGCACTAGGCAGTCCTAAATTAAATTGTAAATTTGGAAATACTTTATCTCACAATGACATAAATATAGCAAAATGCCAAAATAGTTACTAGTAAGGAAAAATCTTCCCCTAACATTTGCTTCTAACGCTACAAATCCTAAATAAGTGAGACGAGTGGAAGGATTAGAGATATATTTATCCAAGGTGACTGACTGCCCACAAACACAAAAAGAGGCACACAATGTAACCCACTTACCCAAGTTGGGAATACTTTTGAGGCAGCATTGAAGCAACTTTATCTGTAAACTGCAAAAAAAAAAAAAAAAAAAAAAAAAAAAAAAAAAAAAAGAGTTATAGAATTTCCTTTTATTAACTGGAAAAGCTAAGATATCACATACCTGAAGAACAGGTCGGTATACAGATGCTGCTAAATATATTCCCTGCTCGGGTAAAATAGCTGTAGTACCATAACCTTCCTTAAGTACATTTGCACCCCTCCTGTTCCATCCTTGGCGAATCAGATCAAGTCCTGAGAGTCAATAGTCACAGACATAATATCAATATCATAAAGTGACTGAAAAGAGGCAAGTCTAATGTAAAAAAAGAAATCCATAAACCTTCCTCAATGGGAAAGGCATTGAGTGTGGATAAATTTATGATAATGTCATAAATCATTTTGCATATGTAGAGTCATTTTTTCTCTTTATTATTATTATTATTTTTTCATGTGGAAGACTTTCAACATCTATTTAAAATTTTCACCAGTGGATGTGTTCCCTTTCTTTAGCTGCTAACAGATAGAACATAAAACCAACAAGTCATGCATCCAAGTAAAAGCATATATATTGAAGAATTACCCCAGGCTCATGCCTACTTACCCTGGTTAGGAATGGATACAGCAGCATCTGTGAAGCGAAAAGCAAAAGTAAGACCATCTTCTGATCCATCTCTGTAACCAATAAGCAATGAAATAGTCAATTCAAAATAAGTCTGCCATTTAGAATATGAAATACAGAAGAAAAGAACACAGCAATACAAATTGAAAAATACAAGAGAAATATAACCTTCTAGCTCCCAATAGTTAATGTCATAGCTTTTTCCTATTCCTTTAACTCTCATTTAGACTTGTTTCACAAATAAACTGGAAAAATGTACAAAACAAATATCTTCCTTGGAGAAAGGGCAAAAGGCAATTGAAAAATACAAGAGAAATATATCTTTTCAAGCTCCCAATAGCTAATGTCATAGCTTTCTCGTCTTCCTTCTATTCTCATTTGGAATTGTTTCACAAGGAAATAGGGAATATCCACAATGATTGGGAATGAAAAGATCATGCTCCATATCTATAGTGGAAACTGATTCTTCTCTAGACAACAGCCAACATGTATAAGTGAAACATCAAACATATCTCTCTGACTTTTGACGAAGTGGAAATTAATAAAACCAAAGATTCAAAAACCAGTGCAAGATTAATTTTGCAACTGAAGTGGATCATCTAATAAAAGAATCTCCATTGCAGCTCTAATCACTCAAACCCGTCCCCCACCCCCCCCCCCACCCCCCAACCCACCTCCCTTTTCAATCCAGAAAAATAAAAATAAGAAGGATAAGTTCAGAAATAGAAGCCATTAAACGATGAAAATATGAAAGAGGTAAACTTGGAGCAAGACAAATAACACTTGAAGATTACATGCATGATAGTTGACTATTCATGCACTTGCCTCTTATCCTTTGAAGGTGTCTTGCTTGCAAGTCTAGCTGTTTGGACAGCAGCATCTGCAGAAGCAGCTTCAGGTGTTGCTCGTAGGATCTCACATATCAGTTGTTGGCATTCACTCTATTAACACAGTTATAGAATAAAATTTACATCTAAATACAATTTCAAGGATTTATGCATGTCAGCATGTGTACTGTAATGAAACTAACTAACTGGATAGAATTAGGACGAAGATGCAAATAACAAACAAAGCACAAGAACAAGACCTGTAAGACAGTCAAGGAAAAGCCAATACTATAACCTCCAGTATCATTAGATATGTCTGAATCTGGATTCCAGTTAATATCTGCTGGTATAGACTTTGGTGCATTCAAGTCAAATTGTTGTGAGGATTTTGACTCTAGAAGCTCCCCAACAATGACATGGTTCTCTGAAATGTTGCATAAGAACGCATATAAGTTAAAGCAAAAGTATAATAGCAGTCAGTTTTAGGAACTAATATTACCACAAATGAAAATAGAATTATGAAGATTAAATGTCACTGACCAAACATATGAGCAACAGTATCCAAAATTGAATCAAGAAGCTCCTTTGCAGCAGCCTGAGCTGCTCCTGTAGGAGCCATTACAGATGAGACAGGACTGACTGCAAGAACCACTCCAGCCAATGATATCCCATTTTGGCACTTTTGTTTAGGAGGCTGATAACTCTCAACTTTTCCTTTCAGATAGTGTAGACCTGTAATACCCTTATGAGAAGTTGGGGCAATGCCATGCCTTGAACTATTGATGTTCTGTGCATGAGATTTTATCTTGGTAGTAATTATCTCATGAATGGTAGGCCTCAACCTTTGACTGTTACAAAGATAGAAAATAGGAAAAGGAGACAGAGTTAACACTTTTGATACAGATAGAAGAATCTGCCAAGAATGGTGATAAACAATTAAATGAACTAAAAAAAATTATACTGAACCATTTCTATCATGATAAGGGATGAGGAGATGGTGAATTGAACATAGTTTCAAATCTTTCTCATTAGAATACTCCCAACCCCTTAAATAAAATTAAAAATAATGCAGAAGAAAGGTGTGTGCATGCAAGCTTCTTCAGCTACAGAAAGAAAGTTTCAACTACAAAATAGATATCTTCTAGATGAATTGTTAAAAATAGCTGAGAAGTAAGCCGTAATCGTCGCAAATCCAACTTACCTTCTGTTTCAACATAGTCCAAGTGGCAAATTACTGTTAAGTTCATTCTATAATAAAGAACTTTATGAATTAATTCTGCAAAGCACAAAACTTCAACTCACCATATCATAGCACCAGCTGCAGCAACTTTGCCAAGCATACAAAGGCACTCAACCATGGTCTGCAGATACTTCACGTGAAAGGGAGCTTCGCTCTTTCTCATTGCTTCCTATATTTAGAACAAAAGGTTATGAACTAAGCCTTTTGAAACTGGAACTCAATTAAAATTTTGATCATTGTCACTGAATAGTATTTAGTGTCAAACATACAACAAATTCATCAGGAGTAGAATCAGAAAGCCATATTGGAGTTTGTCGAGAAATGATCTTTGATTCCTTGAGAGCAACATCACCACCATTGGCCCTTATTGTATAACCATCTGATGTAGCATCATCATGTTCCAGCGCACCATCCTCATCATGACCATCGAAAAATAAACTGAGAATTTGTCAGAAGAGGAAAGTAAGTGAACATACTAAGGCACAAGTGTCAATGACATTTCCATATATTGTAGCAAACCCTTTTTAACAGAAACCTCATTGCTTATGTGTATTAACCAGTCCAAAAAATATAACGTCATCCAGCCAACATAAGACCATTTTAGAAAGACTGCTTTCAACACCTTTTATTAAGCTTTCCTATAGTAACCCACACCCCTAACCCAGCCTCCTCCCATACGAGGGAAAAAGAAAAAAAAAAAGAGGGGAAATTCTAGGATGTTTAATGTTTCTAACCCATTACAAGACTCCAGTTCTCAACTTACCATCCCATGAACTACCATGAAAGCAGGGTTAGTGAGAGACTGAAGTTTGAAGCCAAGGCTTACCAAGAAACTAAGATAGACTACAAACATGATTAAATTAAAGCAGCTCTTAAACTTGTGTAACAGTATCAATCATCAAATTAAGTGGCTATTTCAAATCCTAAAAATCTTTTAGCCTTAGAATCAGGTTTTCTATGCAATCACTAGTCATAATATATCAAGTTATCATTAGAATATCAATTGTTCATTGATGGAAACACTGCAAAAGGGAGAGTTAAATATTGCTTATAGATGATCATTAAAAAAGACATGTCAAAACAAAACACAAGGTGATTTATGACAAGACTTGAGGAGAATATTAGATGAAGATTGTGTCAACAGATGATTGTTGCCTTACCCCCCATCAACAGAACTAGGTCTGTCAGATCCATCACCAACTCCAAACAAACCAAAGTGATTGTCACCTTTTAGTAGCCTGGTTCTTCGGGATAGAGGCTGTGAGTTGTTCATAGACAATGTAATAGCTGTTCTAGTTGACACTTCATCATCCCTTTCACTAATATTTAACAGAGCTGGACTGCATTATAAACGGAAATTTTTGGTTACATTACAACTTTTCAGAGAAATAGAAAAAATTAATTAATAAGCAAATGCTTACGATCACAAAAGCATAATTGAAACCTAGGATGAAAGAATATATAGAACTGAAGAACTGTGAAGGACACAAATAGAAAAATATGAAATCCTAAACTTTTGTCTGATTTATTTATGATGTAGACAAATACAATCATGTGAATCAACAATAATTTTATGTTGTAGAGGTAGATGTTCCAAGTTTCTTACTAATACAACCATTACAGATTATATACCTGTATTCACCCTTATTATAAAGGTGTGCATGCAGATCCTCCAAAACCTTGTAGAAGAGAATTCCCCGCAGCTTGGTCAACTCAGATCTGACATCCTGTAGAGCACCAACCTGAGGACAGCAAATAATGAGCCCACTAAAGTACTAAGCAACCTTTCAATGTGAATCATAAAGCAATTAAAATGAGAAAGAAAAAATGAAGCTATATGTAAAAAAATCTAGGAGCCTATTTAATTCATTTCTCCGTTTTATATTTTTTAAATTTTTTATTTTTCCAGTTTTCTAGTTTTCCCTCTCCAATTTTTCAAATTCATTTTCCAAAATTTTTGGGAATTATATAATCACATCACATGTTAGATAAATACTTGAAAGGCAACAAACATTAAGAAATAAATTGCAACTATTTAAATTAAGTTATTTTAATTGTTACAAAATGTGATTTCGGAGAGTAATAAGTGGTGTTTTTTTTTAATGTTGAAAATAACCACCCAAAATATATATATATATATATATATATATATATATATATATATATATAAAATAAATAAATAAATAAATAAATAAATAAAAAGAAGGAATGTGCGTGTGTGGGTGGGTGGGTGGGTGTGTGTGTGTGTGTGGGGGGGGGGGGGGGGGGGCATTGAAAATGCACCCAAAAAATAGATTTTTTTTAAGGGAGGAAGGAGGAGGGGAAAAACCTGGGAAAAAAAAACAAAGAAAAGAAAAGGAAGAATAAAAAAAGAAGGATTAAAAAAATAATAATAGGAAGGAGAAAAAAAAAGAAAAAAACTGAAAAAAGTAATCTGGAAAGAAGGTGGGAAAAAGAGAACTGAAAAAGAAACACCAAATTACAAAAAGCTGATACCAGGATTCAAAATTGGAATGTACTGTTCATCCGTGCATGCTACCTCCCGTTTCTCCAATTTGGAGAATTAAACAAAGTTTTTTTCCAAAGTTTACCATTTTCTATTTTGGTAAAATGGTAGGTAAACATGCTCCCGTTTCTCCAATTTTTCATTTTTCCAAAAAATGACTCATTTCTCCAATTATTAAACACATGCTTTCAACACTTTACATGAAATGAGAATGAAGAATAAGTCTTTTTTGCTAGAAATACATATATATATACATACATAGCTTTCCAAGAAGTTTAAAAGATGGGAGTAATAAGAGTATACTGAGTTCTAAGTAAAATAGAATATGAGTTAGATAAGATATTTCCCAGTAGATATATTTCAATGCAGACATTAAAAAAAAATAATAATAAAAGTGAAAGAATTAAAAAATTAATTTGCCGAGACAACTAACAGTCTGAAGGCCCTCTCTTTCAAGCATTAGAGCTGATTGAACTTGCAACTGCACTGCAGCATAAAACTTCTTTTCAGAAATCAGCTTCTCAATCCGAGCTGGAACCTGAGATGCATATAATAAAATATGACTCAGTAATTTCTTTCTCTAAGAGCCCAAAGTGAAACCATCCATGCAAACAAGTCATGTACAGTCAGAGCTAAACGCAATCTAGTCAGATCAATTGACCACAAACCAATAGAATGTCACTAAGACCTAAGATCTAGGTTCTATTTCAAAGTCAGGCCAGATCCAAAATTGATCCAAGTGAACTACTGGAAGAACCGATGGGATAGTATCCTTGGTGATATTTTGTATGAGAAATAAATCCTTTGTTATTAGAAATATGAGTTTTGCCTAGTGATTTTTCCCAAATGATATACACAAATTTTGTTACTATTTTGGAATGTTTAACTGTTTAAGTAATAAAGGAAAAGACCAAATTAAGTACCATTAGTTCAGTCCATGTATGATCTCCCTATATGAGAAAAACTAATCAAATACCAGTTTTGTTTTAAAATCCTATATGATTAAATTCAAGGAGTGGCTCTTGGAAGGAAACCACATGAAAACAAATTAGAAGGCATAATGTGAAGGATAACAGCCATGTTAAATTACTTATGCCCATTGCAACTGTTTTTGCTTTCAGTTCACACCAGAGGGCTTCTTGCCTCTGATTGCACTTTTTCTTTTTTTGGATACCGCTATTTCTTTCTCTTGAAACATTTGCAATCTAGAAATATTATCATTACAAGTACTGTAAACACTCTCACACTTTAACAAAGCAAACTAGAAAGATGGAGATGAAACTGTATAATAGATATAGGAAAACAAAGAGCAGTTGACCTTAGCTATGCCTTCAATTTGATCTAAGAGAGCTATAATATGTCGCAGTGTAACCGACCGATACCATAACTGATGCAATTGCTTATTACGGGTACCCAGGAGTTTCTTCGCATCAGACAAATCACCCTTTAAGACAGCAATGCTCTGAGCAGATTCACTAAATATCCGCAAGATCTGCATGGTGATGAAAATAATACTAAAATACATTCTCCTATAACTTTCATGTAACATCTATTAAACATTCTTTACCTTACCAAAAGGATAAAAAGATGTATCAGCAATGACATATAAATTATAATTTAGCACTTACAAAATGGGAATGGAAAGAGAAAAACAAAACAACGATATATTTGGTTGAGACTGTTAGCAGGTCATTTGCTATTAGCCCATGTATTTGCAAATTTCAGGAAGGATTGATTCTAAAGTTTGAAAGCATCTGGGTTTTTACCAAACTGAAGGAAGATAACACTCTTCAACAGGTAATGACATATTTAAACATTACATTCACAAATGAATAAAATTTATAACACACAGAACCAGTTAGCCCTTTCTAACCACAGTATTGATTAACTCACTTTAAATGGAACTAAATCTTAAGCAGTAACAAATTTTTTGAGGAAATACTTCACAAAATAACTTCATTGCAGGAAGAAAGACGGTGATGTGTAAAAAAGATGTAAACTCAACCCCCCCCCCCCCCCTCCCCTAAGAAAGAGATGAAAACCTATTTAAACACCTGGGAATAATTTTGAATTGCTTTATTGAATCCACCATGGTATGCGTGTACTACTTCATCCACAACATCCTCAATTATCCCACTCTGCTCCTTCAAAATCTGCAGATCACCTTCCCGATCCTTTGAGGTCAGAATATGCACTACATGGGGAAGCGAATCAAACCGTGCAGCTGTCCAACTTTCATCTATCTTAGATAATTCTTCCCTTAAGTACTGCATTCACCATAAAACACAATCACAACACAATCTAGAATCAATCAAATGTTATGCATGAAAACTACCGCCATTTTCAATTTTACACAAGAAAGTGGTCGACCAACAACAATTGAACCAAATGCCAACGGACAATACCAAAATAAACATGAAGTGATGAAGTTACAGCCGCTTCATCAATTGCCTCAACACCGGCCATAATTTTGGCCACTTATTTCGAATCCAGCAACAGCGGAAACTATCCAAGCTAAAGCTCAAGTAAAATTAAGGCGAAAAATGAAGTGAAATGGAAACTCACCAACTTGTCTTGGGGAATAGGGAGTCCATCAAGGAGTCCCATCTGAACTCACTCAGCTCAAGCAAACGCAAATCCTCCTGCAAGTCAACTACTCCCATTCATATCATAAAATTCTCCGAACTACGCATTTCTGCAAGAGGAAAAAAACACATATACACGCAAATAAGTTGATGAAATAACTAGAAAACAAAAATTACCTATTAGATCTGCGATACTCCGGCGCGGGGAGAATGACGGATCAGAGAAACTGTATGAGATCGCGTACGGAAATAGGCGGTGAGGAAGGGAGAGCGCCTGGGAAACAAGACCAGAGCAACGCAGAGCTGGAAAACGAAGATGATGATGTCAGAAATCAAATTTAGTAATTACAGAGTAATTATTACGCGTATTGCTAACATTTTGTTTCTCTTTCTATTTTTTACTGCTTTTGCTTCCAGGCAAATACTGTCAATGCATCTTCCCCGGATACAAGTCAATGCAGGTCATTGACAATGGTTAACGCTCTGGCATTATTTTCTTCGTCAAAGATTAAAAACAGGATATTCTTTGAAAAGTTTATTATCTTCTCCCAATTTTCAACTTAATAATCGAAGTATCACTTACTGTATGGTATGGTATGATATTTGTGACAATGCTAAAATAATAAAGTAATTGCTAATGTTAAGAATGATTTTGACTTGATAAATTGTTGAGTATGAAACTTATAATTTTAATTGACTATAATAAAGAAATTATGAATTTTGTCCAATACAAATAAAAATAAAATAACAAATGGTTAAGTTTAAATTTGCAGTGGATCTAAATTATGTATGTTATGTCCTTTAAAAAAAAAAAATTATGTATGTTATGTCGTTATGAGACCATCCCCAACTCAAAACACCAAAAAAATATTCTCAATATATTCTTACATTAAATTTTTTAAAAATTATTTCATCCATTCACACGACAAATTACATGTTTTTAAAATCCTACTTAAGTAATTTTTATGAATCATTTAGTTAATGTAATATACAAGTTTATATTATACTTCATCATATTCAAATATCTAAAAGAAATTAAAATTAAAAAGTATTTATTAATATATTGTTTTTTCGATTCAAACTATTTTATCTAATTGATTGATTGATTATGATTCATATTTTGTCATATATATTTTTATTGTACTTCAATGTGTTTTAAAATTTTCACCCAACTCAAGTATATTCTGGTGAGAACTAATATGAATCAGCTGACCACCTATTTGGTGAGTGTCGACTGGCTCGCTTCCTTCGGGGGTCAGACGATATCATGCACGGGTATACTCTTCAAGGTTTTATGGACGCTGTTGTTGGGGCGCCTAATCCTAACAAGGCAGTCCGTATGGCGGCTGTGATGTGGGTCATCTGGTCTGAGCGCAATGACCGCATCTGGCGAGACTTGTCGAGGGGAGGCGACCAGCTGAAGAACCAGATCACGAATTTACAAATCAAGTGGCAAAGGACCTTCAAGTCAATGGTTCCAGGTGGGCAAGTGCGTGTTAATCCGGTGAATTGGGAGCCACCGAAGAGAAACTGGTTGAAGTGTAACGTGGACGCGACAGTGTTGGCTTCGGGAGTAGCCTTTGGGGCAGCCGTGAGGGATCACAACGGCGTTTTCGTGGCAACCAAAAACGGTCGCCTTAATTGTGATTGTGACCCTTTCACGGCGGAGGCAACGGTAGTCAAAGAATCACTCCAATGGCTACGAAGTCTTGGCCGGAATGATTTAATAATTGAAATTGATTGTCTAAATTTCTGTAAGGCTTTTAATTCCAGTTCTTTTCTTTATTCGTATGTTGATTTGATTGTTAAGCAATGCAATTCGGTTGCTAGTGACATAGGGAATGTGTTCGTTCGCCATGTCAAGAGATCAGCTAATCAAGTGGCTCATGTGTTAGCATGGGCAACTGATTTTACGTCTGGCTCTAGCTCGTGGACTGAGGTCCCGCCTTTTTGTATCTCTGCTATGTTGATTCATTAATAAAGTATTTCCGTTTTGTTCAAAAAAGAGAGTATATTTTGGATCAAACTCTAACTATCATGTAGTCTATCATAAACATTGTATATTTGTATTATAATTAATATTGTATTTTGTATTTGAACTTTATTATAAATGTTTGATATTTTGTCATTGACATTTCTAAAGTCATTTGAACTTCACTCCACTCATATAATTTTCTAGATCCGTCCATAGCAACACATGTACTTAAAGCTACTGAATGTTTTGTAATATAATTTGGATCTTTTAATGTTGAGTTTACACTAATTATAAATATTACTACATGATATGGTAATTTATATCATGCACCATGGTCCACATAATATTATAGATCTAAATTAAAAAGACGATGTACATAATTTATACTCGTAAGGTACAACATTTCACAATACAAGACACATACACATGTTATATATTTACTTACTTTTTAAATACTCCGTATGATTTAAGTACATAATTTGTGTTCATAGACACAAAATGTCACAACACAAGATACAAAAATTCATAATATAAGACACAATTATTAAAATTTTAAATACATAATTTATAATTTTAAGGTACAAAATTTAATAATATAAATGTGCATAGTCCACCGTGAACCGTGGTTCATGGTATAAGGATTTACGACGGACACCGTGACAACAATTGTATGAAATTTGCAGCCCAATCTGAGAGTGACACAGAAGGGTTTGGATTTTGAAGTGAGTTCTTCAATTTTCTGTAGACGGATGCCACCGGAACCCGAAGTCCCTAACCAATCGATACCGGGTTATGAACCCGATTGACTGAATCCGGGTACGGGTTACATCGTCGTCTTCTTCGCCATCGTGTTCCAGCTCTGTACTGAAGTGAGAAGCTCACAAACACACAGATATGGATCCATCAAACCAAACCCCTAATCAGGACCAGCCGTACATTACCAGTAACAACCCGCTACATTTCACAATCCATTTGCCGCAATCAAACCCCATTCCAAACCCTAACCACAGTTTCAATCCAATCCCAATTTATGATCACAACCCTAATACCTCAATCACTCAACAATTGATATCTCTCTCCATTCCGCGGAAGCGAAGGCAAGGCCGTCCTCGAAATACCACAGCGTCGAACCAGGTATATAATAATGTACAATTTCTCGGACCCCTGTCAGAAAATCCCAATTTCTCGAGAATTAATGGAGTTGGAGACCCTAATGCTGTCACCAATTCCGCTGTGCAAAGACAAAGCGCTGCTGACGTATCGGACGAGATCATCGTGATCAACAAGGAGGCCACGTCCGAGGCCTTGATTGCTCTAACAGCCGGTTTTCCAGCTGACTCGCTTACAGATGAGGAAATTGATGCTGGGGTTGTTTCTATGGTTGGTGGGATTGAACAGGTAAATTACATTCTCATTAGGAATCATATTATTACAAAATGGCGGGAAAATGTGTCTACTTGGATGACAAAGGATATGTTTGTTGATATTATTCCGAAGCATTGTAGTACTCTACTGGATTCTGCATATAACTACTTAGTTTCGCGTGGCTATATTAACTTTGGAGTGGCACCAGCTATTAAGGAGAAGATTGTTTCTGACCCTAGTAAGCCAAGAGTGATTGTTATTGGGGCTGGACTGGCAGGGTTGGCTGCAGCAAGACAATTGATGTCATTTGGGTTTAAAGTGACAGTCTTGGAGGGAAGGAAGCGTGCAGGTGGAAGGGTGTATACAAAGAAGATGGAAGGGGGGAATCGGACAGCATCTGCGGATTTGGGAGGGAGTGTGTTGACAGGAACATTGGGGAATCCGCTTGGAATTCTTGCCAGACAACTGTCTTATACCCTTCATAAGGTGAGGGATAAGTGTCCACTGTATAGACCAGATGGGAAACCAGTTGATCCAGATTTGGATCAGAAGGTAGAGATGGATTTTAACAGACTTTTAGATCAGGCAAGCAAGCTCAGGCAGTCAATGGGAGATGTTTCTCAGGATGTGTCTCTTGGGGCTGCATTGGAGACTTTCCGCCAGGTTACTGGTAATGAGGTGAATGATCAGGAAACGAGCCTGTTTAACTGGCATCTTGCAAATCTGGAATATGCAAATGCTGGCTTACTTTCAAAACTTTCATTAGCATTTTGGGACCAAGATGACCCCTATGATATGGGAGGGGATCATTGCTTTTTGCCTGGCGGAAATGGAAGGCTAGTTCAGGCTATGGCTGAAAATGTTCCTATTCTTTATGAGAAAACTGTGCACACAATTCGTTACAGTAGTGATGGCGTGCAGGTCGTTGCTGGGGCACAGGTCTTTGAGTGTGATATGGCACTGTGCACTGTTTCGCTTGGAGTTCTGAAGAATGGGTCTATTAAGTTTATACCAGAATTGCCTCAGAGGAAGCTTGATGGAATAAAAAGACTAGGATTTGGTTTGTTAAATAAGGTTGCAATGCTTTTCCCACATGTTTTCTGGGGCACTGATCTTGATACGTTTGGGCATCTTACTGAGGATCCTAGTCATCGTGGGGAGTTCTTTCTGTTCTATAGCTATGCACCTGTTGCTGGTGGTGCTCTATTGATAGCTCTAGTAGCTGGAGAAGCTGCTCACAAATTTGAGAGCATGTCCCCAACTGATGCTGTGACACGGGTTATTCAGATTCTTAAAGGTAAAACCAATTCACGGATGTAGTATTTGTATTTCTAAATATCAAGTTGTCAAACTCTATCTTGCAAGAACATATCCTCCCTGCTTAAATGCCTGCCTTTCTGGTAAGTATATATATTTTTTCTTTTTGCAAATTTTTGATGTGAAAATCATGAGCAACTCTAACAAGTGGCAAGGTGGAATAATGGAAAGGAAATATATGAGAATAAAATCATTCAAAATTGTATATATTTGGTGGTATTTATTTTCATACAACTCTGGGGGAGTGATTTGGACTAAAAGATGGGATATTAACAAGCAAGTAGAAACATGAGAAAGTATATGGCAGACCATTGCTTTCTAAAAGCCATGTTACATAAGTTGCATCCATGTATTGAATATACTAATAAAGTACTTACCTTCCTTTTATACCACACTGTCCAAACTACCCTCTTCAATATCAACAACAATAATAATTCACTTCTTTTATATAACAAATATCTGCAGAGCTACAATTTGTTATACTAGTTGAATAAATATTTGGTTCATAATTTCATATTATGTGAAGTTACATTTGCCTATTCAGTTTATTTCAACTCTCTTTTAACAAGATGCTTAACCCAATGCAATTAGGGATATATGAACCACAAGGAATTGAAGTACCTGAGCCTATCCAAACGGTCTGTACAAGATGGGGTAGTGATCCCTTCAGCTTAGGATCGTACTCTAATGTTGCTGTGGGTGCATCCGGGGATGACTATGATATTTTAGCTGAAAATGTTGGAGATGGAAGACTTTTCTTTGCAGGGGAAGCCACTACAAGGCGTTATCCAGCAACTATGCATGGAGCTTTTCTTACTGGGCTTAGAGAAGCTGCCAATATCGCTCATCATGCTAGGGTTAGAAATTTGAAGCTGAAAGTTGAGAAAAACCCATCAAAGAATGCTCATGCTTGCGCTTCTCTTCTTGCTGATTTATTCAGGCAGCCAGACTTGGAATTCGGTAGCTTTTCTGTAATCTTTGCTAGAAAAGTTACTGATCCCAAATCAGCGGCAATTTTAAGGGTGACATTTAGTGGACCGGGTAAGAAAAGTAATGATGGATTAAAGCCTGACCAGCACTCAAATAAATTACTTTTTCAGCAGCTTCAGTCTCATTTTAATCAGCAGCAAGAACTTCATGTCTATACATTGTTATCTAAGCAACAAGCACTGGAGCTGAGAGAGGTGAGAGGGGGTGACGAGGCCAGGCTGAATTACATTTGTGAGAAATTTGGGGTGAAGCTGGTCGGGAGGAAGGGTTTGGGGTCATCCGCGGATTCTTTAATAGCTTCCATTAGGGCTGAGAGGGGAAGACGTAAACCTGGATCAAATCCTCTTAAATCTGGTGGGTAGTCTCTTTTGCCTTTTCCCTTCATCAAATTGTCACTAAAAGAAAATGCACTTAGATACAAGCATTCAAGAAAGTTGTGCCTGATATTTGTCTTTTTTTACCTTATTTTGGAAGGTATGTCAAATTCAAAAGTTGCCACTGCAAAGAAGAGATTAGTCAGGTATGATTGTACATCATCCTTTTTGAGTCAACCCCTTTTTGATCTTATTGTATTCACTTGTCTCAAATTTGTATATTTCATTTTATTTTTTTTTCAGAAAAGCTAAAATAGTACGCAGAGGCAATGGACTTACTGCACCCAACAGAGATACCAGAATGAAAGCAGTTTGTACTGGCATTAACCCTGCCCCTGCACCACACACTAACTCCGGTCCTAAACCAGTGAGCAATAACACTAGCGGCATGCCTCTTCCAAATCCAAATGACGTTGGCGTGAATATCAATATGGGGTCTAAACCAGCTAGTACTAATGGCTCCACACTGCATCTAAATCCAAATGTTGCTGCAAGATTAGCAAGCAATACCCCTAGCTCTAGCCAGGTTTCTAATTCAAATAGTGAAGTGAATGTTAACATGGTGTCTAGACCAGGGAGTAGTGGTACTGGTTATGCAGTGCCTTGGAATTTGAATTCAGATGTTGCATTTGGAGGACACGCCAGTATGTTCACCCCGCCTTTGAATTCTAGTATCGGTTTGGATAACAACATGGATTCTAAACCAGGGGGCAGTGACTCCACCCTGCCCCTGAATTGGAACGTTGATGCTCCATCAGTGCCATCGGGCAACAAAACCAGTAGCTCAACCCCTCCAAGCTTGACTCTTGAAGAAATTTTCTGGGATGATAGCAGTGGCTCCACTCTTCTCCCAAGTAATTGTGATGATAGTGCACAAACATTTGATCTACCTCCTAGTGTGAATTTTGATTTCCAATAGTTGATCATGAAGCATTTTTTTTCCAATCCATCATGTGTTCATTGGCAGAAAGGGCCTCATGTGTTCATTGGCAGAGTTGATTGGGGCGATTCATTACCATTTTGATATTAACAATACCATCCTAAGCTCAACATTTATGTACTATACTGTGGCAGAGGAAATGTGTTGTAATTTGATGTTAATTATCAAATATATAAATATAATGTACTTAGTTTTATGGCATTTTTGGTTTCCTCAAATTTGAAGAAAAATATATTTTATCTTGTTTGATTAATATAGAATTGAGAGAAAAGTTACAACATAGTTCTTATTATTACCTTCACACATCTTTAATGTGTAGAGACATTTTAATTTAATCTTAATAACTTCTTTCTCACCAACTAAAAAATGAAATTAACATTCCAAGTAATTTTTTAATGAAATTTAAATTCAATTTCTTCTCAATTCTTTTCTACGAACCAATCAGACCATTAGTTATAAATTTTGGTTTAAATAGTTAAATACTATTGGTGAATAATTCTCAAACTGATATGCTGTCATTTTGTGCCAAGTTCCTACTTGCCCACATTACTATCAACAATGTTTTTAAAAGTACAAAACACATGAAATGTTTGAGAAAATTTTCAGTATACTTCATTCATCATGTTCAACACAAGTATGTATCCTATTGCTAACAACTTACATTGAGACTGGCAAATCAAAATCAAGAGAAAATGCAAATGATTTATCGCATCAAGAAACCATGTTGGGAAATAGGAATCTCGAAAGCTTGCATTCTTTCTCCTCGAGCCAAACCATTGCGATCATAAGATGAAATCTCAGTGATGTTAAGATCAATGCAGGCCTTCACAAGCTCTTCGCCAATACGTTCAGCTGCTTCCTGAGACAAGATTGTGTGGGGCATTTCAAGTTCACTAATGGCATTGATACACAGCAAGTCATAATATGAACAAGAACTGAAACACTATATTACAAGATTTTGATTTTTGAATGCCATACCCAACTATCAATGTTTACTAACCAGATCTCGAGGATGGCGAGTGTACTTACCATGATGCTGCAAGGAGGATCACCGCGGATTGATTTTTGCAGAGTGCTTCCATAAAACAAACATTTCTTATTTTGATCATCTACCAGCATAGCATACAACTGTGTTTTTGAGCAGAACACTGAAAGCCTTGGTTTTGCGGGCGTACCATTATACTGATCAAGAAACAATATAAATAACTAAAGATCACAGTTCTGTAATATAGAAATGAATCAAACAAAATATTATGTTTAAGAAGCCTGAGCAAGCAACACAAATTATTCGGCATTAAGCCCTTAGCTTGGTTACAGACTTATACCATATGAAGTTAATTAGTGTAAAAACTGATCAAACATTTGGATCATTGTTATCAGCAAGGTCAATAAAATATTTTATTATTATTATTATTATTTGTTGGATGACGAGGGAAACTCGTAACCACTACCCGAGGGTGTGAATTAGTAAACTCCACCCCCCACCCCCCACCCCCCTTCCCTTGTAGCCCTAGTTGACAAAGGACAACGAAAAGAAAGTAAACCAGTCTAGGTTACGACCGGCTCACCCCACCTTGTAACCCTAACTGACAAAGGACCACAATGAGGTAAACCAGTCTAGGTTACCCATAATTGATCGGCTCAAACCAATAAGCCGCTCCCACTGAGAGTCGAACTTGAAACCTTGTAGTTCTCAAACCACAGGCCAACTTGGAATCTTTTGTTATTTTCAATGCTAAAAAGTTAAGCTTGGAAGAAAGGAATCTGAGCTATCTTCTAGAGTTCTTGAGGCATTGAGGCTATGATTTACAGTGCAATTCTGTTTCCACAAATATTGCTTCATATTTTGCTCACGGAAAAGTAGCATAATTTATCCTAAGATACAACATAGTTGGTCTTTAATTATGTTCCCCAGTGCCCACATTGAAAAGAATAAACAATTGCAGGATCAGATAGAAATGATTTTGGAATGAAGCACTACCTTCTTTCTTAATCTTCTGTTCCGAATCTTTGCATTCTCTGTCCGAGTATTGGCCCTCGATGTTGCTTGAACAACCAATGGGTTCATAACTAAGCCTGCAAAATATGATTTTAGAAGTGAAAATGACATGAACTACAAGAACCAATGATGATTAGTACAGTCTACTTAAAGATAAATAAGACATACTTCTACTTTGCACGGGAAGGATATGGGAGAAATTCATAGAAGTCCCAAGGAGTTGACTACTCTTGAATTGCAGTGAACTGACTCTAACACTCCTAACAGTGAACAGTGCCATAGCTTCAACAACCATCTTCAGTTCCAGAAGACTCTCAATTTCCTGCCGAATAACTGCTAACCCACATCTAGATCACTCGAACGAGTTTAGCATCGCGCAACACCAAAGTAAACAAATAACAGTAGCTCTTCCGGTAATTTATTCAAACATCTAGCGTGCATAGATCTCTTCCCACGTTTCTGTAGCCACTCTGCCTGTGAATGTGGGCTAAACAGTAAGCTTGCTCGTGGCTAAAGGATAACTAACAGATTACTGTGGCCCGGGAAGTTCTTACGGTCTAGAAATCCAGAATTTCATTATTTTTGGTAACTCGAGAAACCACAAATCACTATATGAATTATATGAAGCTGATATGTTCAAACCTTCAAACCACTTAACAGTTTAACTAACTTGGTTGAAATTAAATGTCTGTATTGTCGAGAAATTTAAAAAAAAAAATAGTCTTTTTAAATTTTAAGTTATTTTTTAAAAAATTATATTAGAGTATGCTTACCATATGTTCGTTAAAGTTACATTTTAAAAAAAATGAACATGACCTAAAATGAGTAATTCAGGGGATAAAACATAATTTTCATATCAAAGCACACAAGGTGGCGCACAATACTTTTTGATCTGGTCAAGCTCGTAGCAACGTAGCATTGCTAGTTTGTTTGTTTTTTTTTTTTATTTTTTTTTTTTTATTTTTTTTTTAATACAAATCCTATGAATCTTCTCTAGGAAATCAAGGTTTTTATTTATTTTATTTGATTGGGAATTACTCAAGTTCAGGAGACAGCACCAGGATGAACAATCATAATACAATATGTAAAATCAATTAATTTTGGATTACATGCAATCTTGTCCCCTAAATTCAACAATCTTTTTCATCCCTTGTGACTTTTCTTTTTAACTTTGGCATTTATTATGCTCCAAAGGGTCAACCAGCAATGATACATATAGAGCCCTTCACAATGAAGCATTATATGTTGCCCAGAATAATGAAGCCCATCTGCTTTTCATGTTTTTTTTGAAAGTAACAGAACTATATTAATTAGAACCATCAAAATTCAAAACATCCACAATGAAGTTAGGGGGAGTATAGAACCATTCCACATAGCCAGGTAAAGAAATAGCTTCCTTAGCCAAAGCATGGGCGACCTGATTCGCTGACCGTTTATTTGCATTTTCATGTTATTCAGTCCTATCTTGCTGATCACCTGTTCCTTCCAACCACTCTTCCAGTTTTGCTTCCTTGTTAGCCCTAAATTCCTCGTAGTTATTTGACAAAGACAGCAACTGACCATGGGACAAGCTCCGATTCACCTGTGACTCGTGTAGCGCTTCATCTGCTGTTTGACTCGGCAAGGGGAACTCATCGACGCCTGTCTTGGCAATAGTTGATGAAGAACTTGCATCTGCAGCTGATGAAGCCTGGTTTTGGGAAGACAACGAGGGCTCACGCTTCACTTGAATAGGTTCTCGGGTTTCAATTTGAGTCCACCTGAAGTTGCTAGCTCTTTGCTTAGCAGATTTGAACACATTCGACAAATAGCTGCTGTTCTCGCTATCTTGCTGCTCCATGCTGTTTGTCGTCATAAGGCTCCACGTTGAAGGACCCCATGAAGTACTTCTCCCCAACCCGAAACTTGAACTGGGGGCACGGGCATTTATTAACCCTTTTTTCGGTTGGTTAGTTGATATGACAGCCAGGGAATGTTTAATCTCTTTGATCATCTCTTCAGCAATTGGAAAGCCAAACTCTTTCATTGATCCCATCATCGATATAGAATCCTCTAAATCTTCCATATGCAAAGTCACCTCACGAGATTTCTTCGCCACAGTATTGTTAAGATTGACAAGGTTGGGTACTGCATTGTGGGTATGTTGTTGAATGTAGAAAAGACCCACCGAGGGTTCATTTGCCAGAAATTTTATCATGTCTGCCAAGCTACTGGTTATCTCCGCAAAACCCTCCACTGCAGAAAACTCGTGCATCCTCTTTAAGGCCAAAGGCTCATCATTGCTGGCAAATTTAATGACAGAAAGTGAGAAACAAACAAATATGCCAGACGTCAAAGATAATTATCTGAGTTGGGCTCCATAATAAATAAACAGAAAGCATTGCGAATGATATATTTCTAAGCAGGATTACTTGGATAAGATCGTTTTGGGAAATCGAACAAATATAATAATTCTCAGCAGCAAAATATTATAGAAACACTAGTCACTAGTATTAAGAGGAGGTTAGAGTAATGTTTTCCTGTCCTATATCACTTCTAATATCTGATAAGTAAACAAGATGGGCTGAACTTATCCTAGCTATACTACCGGGTATACTCAAAGATGGGTAGCGCCCATCATAAAGCAATAACAGATGAATCCTGGTTCCACTTACATATCCTTCTTAAACCAGTTATCATGCCACTATGCATTAATAACAAGTGGTATTATCCAGTGATCAAACAAGCAAATGGCAAATACTAGAATTACTTATCCAGTTAACTATCTAGATAAGGTAAAAGCTCCATTATGACATTCTAGAAAGAATAGACATTTATCCTTAGATGTAACCAACCGCCCACGAATCTGGAGAGTTCATGAATTCACACAATAAAGCATGCCCCGATTGATGTCGTTTTACTTGATATCCAGCCAACTGATCACATCCTAAAACAAGATCATGGACTCCAATAACTTGGTGAGAGAAATACATTTACCAGATCATGAAGTAACTATAAGTGTGGAACTAATGGTGAACCCCGCCAATGAATGACTTTCACACTCCATGTGATTGGGTGGCCTCCAATAAGTTCTCAACCAAGGATTTCTTACACTTCTGGGTGATATACCAACTGAAAACCAAAATCCTAATAGGTTTCTTCGGGTTCATTTCTGATTGTACCCAATCAACAATTTACCAAATAAATGGCCTCCCTAGTATCCCCATCCTATTCCACCTAGCATTTAAGTTCAAAAGCATTGCACATACATTTTGGACTTTTTACACCTATTTCCTGCAAACCATAGCAGGTGCGTTTAGGATTTGCTTCATTTTAGAAAATCCCCCCAACACACTGAAAGAAATGCTAAAATCTATACATGTTGATCTGTGTTCCTTAGAGTGTTTAGCACCTAGAATTTCAGTCTCTTGTAAATCTCACAACTCAAAAGTGGAATGGTTAAGTCTCATACGTATTACATTGAGACAACACATTGCTCTTATTCTTTGACTTGATGCATACCAGAAACTGTCAGCTAAGTTACCAAAACTACTTTATAGTAAACAGTAATAAAGAGATAAAGATGTATAACTTAATATTAGTCTTCCAACGTAATCAAGAAAGGAAAAATAATAGAATATCTTATTCTAACGCGAAATCCAATCGTATCTTACTCAAACATAGATCATGTGTCCCCTTATAAGCTCATTTGTGGTCAATTGGCAAATGTAAAAAAATGTGCAACCTGCAGATAGTTTGAAAGCAGCGATTAACTATTCATTGTCAAAAAAGAAAAGGAAAAGAAGCCCATACCCCCATTAAAAAGAAAAGAACACATTTCACAATTGCAGCTAAAATAAATGGTCTTACAGAGCAAACCACTGGGTGAAGTATACAGAGACTTGCAGTGGAATTCAGGAAATTTTATCAGACCACGATAGATTACATTGGAGACAATTTCCTATACCTATAGGGAAAAAGACTCAGAAAAAATAATAATAATAATTAGCATGGCAAGTTGGCAACTCCAAGTTCAAAAGATAATATAATTAGCATGGCAACTCCAAGGAGTTATCTCCTAGACAAAAACTTGTTTGTTTTCAAAAATCAAATAGCGAAATCATTACCTTAAAAATCCAAACCCCAGAGGAATCTATCAATCAATTCCTACCAATAAAGAAATGCCCAAATTTCAAAATCCAAAATTTAGCTGATTCTCACTATTCCTATCCCTCTTTGCTGCATGTATAAGCGTGTAACGACTGGAGAGATGAAAAGAATGGATAGAAACCTCAGCTTACAGATCACAGTAAAGACATCTGAACACCGCGAGCTGCTTTGGATCTTTATTTGGATGTGATTTTTCCCGTCGAACGATGAAATACATATACATCCAAGTGTGATGAGTTGTTGTCTTCTGTTGATGCAACTGATTTTCAGATTTCTTTTACACAGCGATACATCATAATCATCCTCGCCTGAGTCGTCTCAAGTTCGCAAAGCACGAAACGGAACAGAGGCAACGATTTTCATTTCTGTCATTGGGTAGCTTCTGGGCCGAATTATACCATGTATCATGTCTACTTGGACCTTGTCTAAAAAGAATCTTTAAATTTTACATTTGCAAGATAACAAACTATGTACATATAATTAATGTTCGTAAACAAATTAAAGACATAACATAATAACTTTAAATATATAAACTGCTAACTGCAAGTACATATAATATGCTAAATGTAAACATATGACATACTAATTAATATCTTATGTATCTACAATTAACATATTTCGTAAGTTAACAATTTTGGTGTTTGTAATTAATATGTCTGTGACTATTATATTATGTGCCTTTATTTTGTTTGTAAATACAAAAAATGATTACCTGTAAATACAGAATGTATTAACTGCAGATACATAATTTTTACATCAGAATTCACAATACAATATGAATCGAATTCACAATACAATATGAATCTCTGGTCCATAGTATAACAATTGGGTTTCTGGAGTTCTGGCCTTACAGGTCTTTTTCTTTTGATTTCCGATGGCAAATTCCATTCCAAATTCAAACTCTAATAAATATTTGCGACTTTATGACAAAGATTGAAGTCTACCTAGTCACTAAAAGTGTGAAAGTGATTAAATATTAGCTTACTACTTGAAATAAGTTTTAAATGAAACTTTTTATCTACTAGATAAAATGAATTGATTATTTTCAAGTAATTTATTCTTCTGTGTAATATAATTATATTTAATTTAGATTAGTTAAAAGAGGAACAGTTGGAATGCTAATGTCACTTTTAATACTTAAAAACTTCCATTAATAATATTATTACAAAAATTGATAACCATTTCTCTTATAATTCCTCAACAAGTAATTCAAGCGAAAGAGAAAAGTTGATATCTGAATAGAGACAATGTTGGGAAACCGAATAGTACATAGACTGGGTACAAAAGGCAACACCAAACATAATTATAGGGCAATTTATATCGTGATGCAAAACGACGTCGTTTTACATAATTATATAAAAAATATATATATATAATTGTATAAATAAACAAATATAACTGTATAAAAAAGGGAAAATGACACTTTTTCCCTCTGAGTTATATACTTATAGCACTTTTTCCCCCTGAATTATTTAAGTGGCTCTTTTCCCCCCTAAAATGTTAAATGGACATATTCACCCTTAAAATAAATATTTAAAATAAATATTTCATTTATTTTTCTTCTCCAACAAATTATTACTATAATTTGGTTCAAACCAAACAGATATTATAGCAACCAAATCAAAATATTCCAATTACAATTTAGAATCAAAACGCGATATTTAGAGTTTATTAAAATCACAAATCGAAATGGTCGGTTCATGTTCCGAACTGAAAAAATAAAATACATTTATTGTTGAATTTAGACTATTTTAAAATAAAAAATAAAATAAAATTTAAAATAAAGACGGTTCAAAATCACAAACCGGATTCGAAACCGCCGGTTCACAGTTCATGATCCAGTTTTTTTGGTTCATAAATTTAATAAATTGAAATCTAAATATTGGATTCTAGATCTGAATCATAACCGAAAACTTTTAATTCGATTGCTATAGTGTCCGGTTCAGTTCGAACCGAACCGTGGTCATTGCTACATATACACAATAATTTGTTGGAGAAGTAAAATAAATAAAATATTTACTTTAAGGGTAGAAATGTCAATTTAATATATCAGGGGGAAAAACCACCACTTTTAAAATAATTGAGGGGGCTAATATGCTTACATAAATAATTGAGGAGGAAAAAGTGCTATAAGTATATAACTTAGGGGGAAAAAGTGTCATTTTCCCTATAAAAAATACACATAATTGTATAAACAAATACATATAACGATATAGATAAATACAAATAATCACATCAATCACCTTCCGCACCTCTCAAAACGACGTCGTTTTGAGAGGCACGAGACGCACAGTGCTGCGCGCGCCGTGGTGCAGGGTATAACGATTGTAATTATAGTTGGAGCCAATCAGTAGTCTGTAGTCTGTTGATCAGAGGACCTAGGTGCAGTTCGTTTCAATATTAAACACGACAGCTTAAGATTATTTATTTGACATCTACACTCTATTCATGAAATTCAAGAAACTCTTTACAGATTACATTGAAGAGATCAAATTTTGAGGCTCAGCCATTCTCCCAGAAAGCGAACCTGCAGTCCACCTCTCCAGCATGTTGAGTGCAGCTTTCGGCTGGTCCATGGGAACCATGTGTCCAGCATCATGGACCTGTTCATAATTAATAAAACCAGGGCAAGAAATTGCATTGTTAGCTCGACTGACAACAATTCGCTGTTACAAATTGAAAATGTATCAAAGGAAAAGGGGCATTGGAGTCAAAGAAGGAAAAGAATGAGACCTTGAGGAAACTGAGAGGTCCATGGCTTTTTAATAATCCTGCTTCTGAGCCATCAACTTCAAAAGGTACTTCAGAAGATGCTACAAACTCTTTCTGACCAGACCATTTCATGGCATGAACCCATCTCGAATTACCTGCTCAATTTAAATGAAATTAGTTTCCAATAAAACTACAGGTTTGGAGGAAAAATAATGTAAAATGCCATACCAAGCCAGTTGCAAATAAGATCATACTCTCCAGCATAAACAAGCAACCTTATTCCATCCTCAAGCAAAGCAGGGATGCCCACTTCAAGATTTCTCATCCAGTCAACAAGCATAGCCTGGTAAACAGTAGTACTACACGAGACAAAATCTATATCATCAACTCCTAGAGCTGTTTTGACAGAGTTCTCATTGAGCATATGTTCCATGCTTGAGAAGTCATAGCAGAGATGCCCCTCACACTTCTTTCTGATGTCATAGTACTGCAAATATCAATTGTTCAGGTCAACCATGATGTATCCCAACAAGTATTCAAACATGACTTCTCTTATTTGGTCAAAACCAGAAAAGGAAGCTTGAGCCTTCGGACCAGTCTACTTATGCTAACAACTTTATACAGTACATGATATTCTGATCTTCAACAGAGAAAGTCTAAACTATCTGGTATAACCTCTCTATGTTATATGGGCTTTTAGCATTTCCCTTGACAACTAGTTTGATGATTATAGATTATATATTGTGAAAGCCACCACTTACAGTGTGGATGGAATAACAATATATCAAAGAGGACGTAATGATTTCCTTACATTGATATTACCAGCACGTGTGATAATAGCATTAAATAAGCCATTGCAAACTACGTAGGATGCCACACAAGTAATAGTCCCATCAGTTCCTGAATCATTTAAAAAAGAGAACATTCAGGAGGAAAACAGGAATAATACAAGGGAATGTGTTTATGCCTCAGACAATTCGAAAACACGGAAGCTATTTTATACGGAAACTTGAGACCCCCCACCCCCCCAAAAAAAAAACAACCTATTTTTCCCATACAAGGAACCTGAGAAAAGAAAGGAAAAATATCTGTTACCACATAGTTTTATTGCAGCCTCACACAGTGGGACCACCTTGTTGATGCTCTGCCAATCAGACTCAGAAATTATTCCCATGTCAAATGCATAATCAGGGTAAGCTCTATATTGAATTGCTGGATCTGTGAGCCCATTACCAATCGCAAATCCCTTTTCAATCACTTTCAAGTTAGAGGGAGAATAAGAATAAGAGCAACAGCTGTAAATAGTTTCTAAAATACATTACCTTGAGGTTTACATGAATCCCTTCATTGGCTTTGTTTCCCTTGTGTATCCTTGCAGCAAATGCGGGAATGTAGTGCCCAGCATATGATTCTCCAGTAATGTAAAAGTCATTCTTTGCATACTCAGGATGTTTTGTAAAGAAAGCCTAAAACATTAATATATTAATAAGTTGTTTATAAGCAGAAATAAGCATGTATGCATTCTGTTACTTTCACATATAACTTTGAAAGATTTCTCTATACCTTCAAAAAATTAAACTAGAAAAAAAGAGGATAAAATCACACTGATCTCAAATTTAGGGCAAACACCATAAACCAATCCCTTTCATCTATAACAGATGAAGGCATGATGCACTACTCCCTAAAGAAATTATCATATGCAAATCATCTGAGAGATAACAAGTTACAAATTAAATGTCATCCCACTCAACTAATGTTGTATATTAACATAGGAAATGCTGAAGTTCGAGCGTAATGCCTCTACTAAAGTAGTGACCTTAGCCATGTGTCTCAGCTTAAATTGAATAGCATGCTAGATATTGTCAAAGAAAGAGAAAATCCAGTCACTAAAGAATGTGATTGCCTAGAAACAGATACAATGCAGCAGAGGACAGGCAATATTACAATTTTTACTTTTAAAAAAAAAACTCTAATTTTAGTCTATTTCTTATACTAGAGGATCTAAATATCATTTTTTAATCACATTATGTACTTCTGCTGCTTACAATTGTCAACCTCCTAATCCACTCAATGTGGAAAGAAAGGGATAATACTGGTCAGGGGTACACTGGTACTTGTCATGATAGAAGATGGCGAATAATGACACTCCATTACCCCATCAATATGACTAAGGTCTGCCTTTAATATTTATCGAGTTGGGACCTCAAAACACAAGTTAATAAAACTAAGAAGAAAAAGAAAAAAAAAAAAAAAGAGTTATCTTACAATCTACCATGCATAAGACATGATAGTAAATGGAAATGTAGCGAGCAAAAAGCACTGAAGTGTTAAAGATAATTCCCCTTACTTTTGTAAGAAACTTTGTTTAACGTAACAGTTAAACACACAAAGATTACAGCCAAATAACCTATCTATGACTTATTTTAAATTAGAGAAACAAAAGCACAAGCAGGAAACAATTTCCATATTCACTTGAAAAGTCGATTTAAGCAAGTGACAAAATTAACCTGCAAAAAGTCGTATAAATCATTGCTAACGCCTTCTTCATTGTGACGAATATCACGTTTGTCAGAGCTGTAACTGAAGCCAGTCCCAATAGGTTGGTCAACATACAAAAGATTAGAGACCTGCAGGTTAAACATGTCAAATCTATTGCATCCCTATTAGAAAAGATTCATCATATATAATGTAAAATTAACAAAAAGGACTTATAGTAACTAAAAGTTACATAACAAAGAATCCAGTAAACACAATTTGAAATAGACAAGACACAGCTTAGTGGAGAAACTCCAGCATTAAGCCATTGACATTGCTCAACTACGTAGAAATTATATATTCACATACATGCATCATACAAGAACCTCTACATGTACACACCTCATATGAATTCTATTGTCAAAAACTCAAATTCCAAATTATAATTATTGGAACAATATAAATCCTTAGTAAAAGCACTCAGTCAAGTCTGTAGTGAAAAAGAGGATGTTAACAAAAATTTAAAACTTTATTCATCATGCCCTTCTACCATGCAATACTAACTTCAACATATTGCATCAAACCAAAAGCTGATTTGCAAAATCATCAAAGTACCTTATCCCATCCATACTTATTCCATTCTAGTGACAGGTTATTTGCAATTTTGAAAGGTCCATTCTCAAAGAAAAGTGCCAACTCACTACTGCAGCCTGGACCTCCCGTTAACCAGATAACAACAGGGTCATCCTTTTTACCGCGGCGTGATTCAAAGAAAAAGTAGAACATCCTACATACAGAATCACAGTTCAGTCTAGGCAAAGGAAACCTTTGGAAGTTGTGGAGACTAGGAAAAAATAAATAAGCTAGGCACAGTAAGGCATGAATTGGATGAAATTTGTGGATATGTTAACCTCAAATATGCAATCCATTGTAGTCATAATTTTAATGCTACAGCCATGAATTTTCAGTGTAAACTACTAGAGTATGAAAAACATTTAAGGAACACTGATGGAGTGATAAATGGTGCCAAAATTATCAACCGTCTTTCTGCTTAGTCCGTATAGAATCTCCACATGCAGTATAATCCTTACATAGTCACTTCAGGAACCTACACTCTATTAGAGCAGCTAATCATGCGTTCAACACAAAGTGATTCATCACGAACGAAGAACAGCAGTGTTTCACTTGATAATGGATCAAAACCGAGCAATTATACAATGTACCAAAATTAAAATCCTCGGGGCTGAACGTTCAATAATGTCAAAAGAATTTAGTAAGTTCACCATAAAAAAAAAAAAAAAAAAAAAAAAAAAAAAAAAAAAAAACTACATACCTAGCAGCATAAGAGTGTTGGATCTTAAAGTAGCCGGCATGGTGACCTAAATCCTCAACGGAGACGGTAGGATCGGCGAGGTTGGGGAACTTGAACAGCTTCTCCACGAGCTTGGGCCCCTGCTCGGCTGCAGAAAGCGAGCCCCGTGGGACGATGTTGACGGACTCCTTGGGGAACAAATTCAGCTCTCTGATCAGCTTCTCCGCCTGCGCGGACGCAAACCTCGAATTCGAAGGGAATAAATCCCCCAAACAAGATGAAGGCGAGAGAACGAATAGCAATACGAGAAGAGATACAACGATCGACCTCTCCATTTCAGCAGATCGATTCACAGATCACAACCAGACAGAGAGTTAAAACAGCTGAAGATCGATCACCGCACGGCTCTGCATATAGTTAATTGTACGCAGAGATGTATACTCTCACACGTATGAACTTAAACAGAGAGATATTTTGCTTAGGAGAGATGGAGAGATGGGGACGAAAGTAGCGGAGAAGGAATGTGCAAGTGATGATGGTATGGATGAAAAGTGGACGTTTTGATTTCGTTAGTCTTAGGCGGGAAGGAAGGCATATTATACTATCTCACTTTATTTCACTTTATTTAGCTACTAGTCTATTAGTCTATATAACTAATGCAAAGTATAGCAAAAACTTGTATGAGGTCTCACATATTTTTATTCTTGAAATATGTTTGATGAAGATGAAATGCAATATTTATATTAGCAATTAGTAATGCAATACTAATTAGGATACTTTTAAGGACAAATGTAATACTTTTATATATTTTTTTATCAAAAATATTATATTTCTCTTTATTTACTTATAAAATAAAATATAATACTTTTATCAAAAAAGTACAGAATAATAATAATTTTAATCAAAATGTAAAAGTATTACATTTATCTTCAAAATTATGTATTACGTTTTCTTATAAATAAAAACACTTTATTCATAATTAGTATTACATTTGCTAGTATACGTATTACATTTGTATACTGACATGACTCAACCCGATTCGTCTCACACAAGTGTGACCTATAAGTAAATCATGCTCAAATATAATAATATTATTATTAATATTTTATTTATTTTATACCTTTATATTATATATTTATAAAGTTCATGATAGTTAATTATATATAAATTTATTAAGGTTAACAACTTACCATTAAAATAACCCTTATAAATAGTAAAAATAGTAACCAGGTGAGTGGAGAAGGTTACGAGTCAAATTTTTATTAATATTATATCTTTTGTGTTATATTTTGCAAACTACAAAGTTATTTTGACCCGTGATGTTACTAAATAATACTTCATCTGACCCATTTTATCTGTTCTATTTACTATTCATTGGTCAAATCAAACTCTTTCTTTTTTGTTTATTTTCTTTAGTATTTTTAACTTATTTTTAAATTTGATTTTTTGTGTTTAATATTATTTTGAATTAATTTCACTTTTGGTCCCACGACTTTTAATGTTCTATCACTTTTGGTGCACAACTTTAAAATTTTTTAATTTTGGTGCTTAACTTTGTTATTTTTATTAGTTTTGGTCCATTCGGCCAAATTGACAGCGAAATGTTGTTAGATTTTATATTTTTAGGGTAAAATTGTCATCCCAAGGAAACATTTTCAATATCTAAATAAAATCACTGTAAAATCATATCTATAGGTGTTTGATCGATGAGAATAATGGGGAAGACGGACAGAAACCAGACAAATTTATGGGATTTATAGTTTCGACCATTGGCAAACTCTTCTTTTCCTCTTAATATGATTTTTCTTTTGTTTAAATATTGAAGATCTTTCCATGGTATGACGATTTCGCCCCTAAAATATAAAATCCGGAAATATTTTACCGTCAATTTGACTGGAAGGACCAAAACTGATACAAATAACAAAGTTAGGCACCAAAATCGAAAAAATTTAAAGTTGTGCACCAAAAGTGATACGAACTCAAAAGTCGTGGGACCAAAAGTGAAATTAGTTCATATTATTTTAGTATAGTTTTGAATATAAAAATTTTGTATACTAATACTAAACTTAATATTATGAAAATTTGAATTAAAAATAACTTCAATCAAGCCTCGTTAATCAAACCAAACATATAAAATGAGACGGAGGGAGTAATATATTTATATATAGAAAAAAAAAAGAAATTTAAACACGTTATTAGTGCCTGCCGCAGTGTCACATCATGGAGTAAAATTTTAGAAGTAAGATTTAGAAGTTCATGTAGTAGAAGTCAATGAGAATTAATTGAGAGACAACAATTGCGATGTTTTTCTTTTAATAAATATTTCTTTTGTCACAACTTAACAAGTGACAACAATATTTGTACAACAAAAGTAATGTGGTCTGATGGTCTGTAGGTTTGCTAATTACATTCTGAAAGATGAGAAATGTCTCATCAAAAACATCAGAGTTACAGCAATTTGAGTCAGGCAGCCAGCTTGTTTGCCAGAGTTATAGTGTCAAATCTGTATATGCTCATTGGCCTGCAGCAACAATAAGAACATCCGTCTCGACAATATGCTATCCTTAAATCAGTTGATCAAATGTTACCTAGTCGAAAAGTCCCTCGTCGTGCCAAATATCAACCAAGAAGTCTACCATCTCCTGTAAAATCCAGAAACCATTCCAATTTAACCTCAACAAACCATTCCTGCAGCCAAGAAGACACAAGGGGAAGGAACATCTTTAACACGAGCACTAACAGAGAGATGTTTTCTTGAATTCTTACGCGCAAGGGAATTTGCTTGGCAAAAGGTTCGTTAGTTGACAACAACTCTTCATATGTCATTGACCAACTGCACACAAAACGTCGTAAAATAAGTTGTTCAGTAGTAAAACAAAACGTACTATAAAAGAAGTCCAAAGATGTCATGCTTTAGAATGCTATAGTGAAAAGGAAGTTTTACCTTATGATTGGTTCGTCCAGCGCCATTTTTGACCTCTGTGATGTACCCCCGGTCCATCTGCTTCTGCATTCCTGCCATGCAATGGCAGCTGGGAAACGTATAAACATAATTTATTAACCGCTAAAAAAATGTTCCTTTTTGTCTGCAACTGCATGTTTGTGTGTACAATATTTGGTTTCCAGTTGCCAACATTAAGATATAATCAATTGCCTAATTTTCCCCATTGATCTGAGGATAATTAGAAGACAGAACCAACAGAAATTGCCCAACAGCATTGTTTATTGCCTCGGTTAGTAAGATTCAATCCGTGACAGACCTTGTTCCCTAATTTCTGATCAGAAGAAACAGGCAAAGACTCACCATGATTAATAAGTATCGGAGCATTTGGACCATTCCCTGAATGCGTTTTAGTTTCTCTAACAGTTTTGAACCCTTCCAGAAGCCGCTTCTCATTGGAATGGGACATTCCAGTATCTCTTTCCATGGATATTGAGTCGACGATCATTACCTTATGCAATGCAAGAGTAAATTTTGACAAATTCTTATAAAACAGTGCCCCTCAATTTGGATTATAAGTCATGGTCAACAAAGATTGTAGCAAATCCCTGAAATAAAAACAATTGTGTTTGGACACAGATGGACAGAATGCAAAACCAATAGCATTAACTCTATTACTCCGTGTTTTATTCCCTCAGTGAAAAACAAAACCATCCATTTTTCCCTCGCCACATCTTAAATGAGCCAAAGTTTTATTGTTACCGTAAAGAATGGAATACATACACTGCCGTTTTATGCTTTAGATCAGACAATCAATTTATCAAGACTCGATCATCCCCCCACTGCAGGGCTATACCAAAACAGTATCTAACCGGGTAACTTTCAGCATTCGATGGGCTAATTCATCAATCCTAAGACTTACATGTTTGAATTCAGGTTATAACACGGGAATATGAAGATGATTAAATGAATTTCTCTTTTCGCCTTTCCTAAATAGAACTACACTGTCACTATATAGTATCTACCTTTGTTCATTAATCCACCCAACCATTCTACACACAATGGAGTAATGGAACAACCACATTTTGACTCTTGCATATCTAAAACTACAGTATAATGCAGCCTTCCAATATGCAAGCAAATGCAGCTCTTTTCAATTCACCACCTTAAAGATTACTCTTTTGAACTTCAAACAACAAAAAATGAAAGATTATTATTATTATTATTGAGATAAACGAGAACAGAAGTCGAAAATAATGGTAGAAAGTAAATAAGACAAGATTTACTGGTTCAAACAAGCATCATATTTATATTTATGTGCAAACCCTAAACAAGACACATGTACTAAATTACCCCCTCCAGTACAACATACACAACAATCATGCTACCCAAAAGCTTCAATCTTTTTAACAATTATGGAAACCCAATTCAGAGAGTGCCCATTAAATCTCATCAGGTGCCATAAACCAAACCAATGAATGAAAACAAAAACATTAAAAGACCAACAAGACATACATTGTCAAGGCATATATGAACCCTACAAGAAAGAAATACTGTAAAAATAGAAATATAGGGAAAAAGGTTAGTTGTACCTTGCAGAATGCCCACCACGAAGGAAAGAAAAGAGGAAGATAAAAACTGTGGAATGAAGAGGGTATTTATATTTAGGGAAGAGAGGGAATTTCTTGCATCTGACTCAACAAAATTACCATTTTCATTGTCTTTTCTGTTCAGTGTTATATTAAAGGGGATGTTCTATTCTAACATATACTCGAATCCCACGTAAATCATAGACGTTAGTTGGTCGATTGATCGGTGGTGCGTTGGCATCGTGTGTTTGTAATCTTTCCCGTCTTGCTGACGTGGATTTGGGTCCCACGTTGTCAGGTAGGAAAAAAAATGATGTCAGCTTTCGTTTTGACAGAGCTCTCTGCAATTGCAGTGTCGGAAAAGAAACGATGGATTGCCCATTGGAACCAGAATATTGATTTTTTGTTACTGATTAGACAAAGGGTATTGGGAATAATAATTCTTGAATTTAGGATCAGATTACATTTTAATGGAGTCGGACAAAAAAAAAACAATTTTGGAGAAATAATTGTAAGGCTACATTTGTAAGTAGTAGAGTGTCTGTGTGAGACACCCGCGCAAATGGCGGCTGCTGCTACTCCATTCCTCCCTTCTCGGATCTCTCTGTTTTTTGGATCCATAGGAGGTACCCTCTTCTTCTCTGTCTCCTCGCTCTTACCCATTTCCGAGAAAAAGGAAGAAATTCATGCAGGTATGGTATGTACTCAACTTGTTGGTTTTTATCTCTGATTTGATTTTTGTTCACTTGTGTTGATTTCATTTATCATGGTTTGCATAATAGGGGAAAATGTGGTGTTGGATTCGTGAAGATTGTGTTTATGTAGATATTGTTTATCGTTAGGGTTTTTGAATTAACGAGCAGTCGTAAAGAGAGGAAAGCTATGGCGTTTGGTATAGCGGTGGTGTGATCGAGGCGGAGAAATTAGGTATAATCAGTTATGTTTAAGATAATAAAACGGAGAAAGGGGAAAACCGATGCGGGAGAGGCGGCAGTGTCGTCCGCCCCGGGGGCGCCGGACGTGACGGTTAATCACGCCTCGCGCATCGCTGATGCGGTGGCGCATCACGCCTCACGCGTCTCCGAAGTGCCGCAGCTGGTGTGTTTGGCGAACGCGCCGGCGGATCCAAGCGTGGTGGAGGTCCTGCCGTTGCTAAAGGACGTCCCGGCGTCTGAACGCCACGCGTTGTTCGTCCGGAAGCTCCAGATCTGCTGCGTCCATTTCGATTTCATAGACGTGATGAAGTACGCCAGGGAGAAGGAGATCAAGCGGCAGACAGTGACGGAGCTGATCGATCTAGTTCACACGGGGTCGTGTAAAATGAATGATCAAATGCAGGAAGACTTGGTGAAGATGATATCAATCAACATTTTCAGGAGCTTGCCCCCTGCTTCGTATGAGTGTACTGGGGGGCAGAGTGGTGATCCTGAGGAAGATGACTTGTTCTTGGACCCGGGATGGGCGCATATGCAGCTGGTGTATGAATTGCTTTTGAGATATGTCTTGTCTTCTGATATGGACACCAGGGTTGCTAAGCGATTTCTCGACCACGCGTTTCTTGTCAAATTCCTTGATTTGTTTGAAACCGAGGATCTAAGGGAACGAGAGTATTTGAAGTCTATTCTTCACTGTATATATGGGAAGTTCATGGTTCATCGTCCGTTTATAAGGAAGGCGATAAACAACATCCTCTACAGGTTCATATTTGAAACAGAAAGGCATAATGGGATTGGGGAGCTGCTGGAGATTATTGGAAGTATAATAAATGGGCTCGCGTTGCCAATGAGAGAAGAGCATAAGTTGTTCCTCGTTCGAGCCCTTATTCCTCTCCACAAGCTCAAATGCGTCACTGACTATCATCATCATTTGTCTTACTGCACTTCACTGTTTGTCGAGAAAGACTATAGATTTTCTTGTGTTGTCATCAAGGGTCTGCTCAAGTACTGGCCTGTTTCGAATTGTGGAAAGGAAGTTCTCTTTATTGGCGAACTCGAAGAAATCTTGGAGTGCACACATCCTGCTGAGTTCCAGCGCTGCATGGTTCCTCTTTTTGTCCAAATTGGTCGAAGCCTCAATAGCCCCAATTTCCAGGTTTGATGTAATTTTTTTGTATATAACCATTAATGTGCAATCCAACTATCAGCTTAGCTTAAGCTGATGGAGCACATGTTTCAATTTGGTATCAGAGCCAGACTAAAGGTCATGGTGGGTGCTAGTAGGTTGCAGTACTTGTTAACAAATTCTTTTTGGTTCATCTATACTTGACAGGTTGCAGAACGTGCTCTTTTCTTATGGAACAATGAACACATAGTGGAATTAATTGCCCTGTATCGACATGTTATTTTGCCCATCATCTTTACACCATTGGAAAGGAACATGCAGGATCACTGGAACCAAGCGGTTCACGGGCTGACTTCCAATGTCCAAAGAATGTTCCAGGAGATGGACACTGAGCTGTTTGAGGAGTGTCAAAGGAAGTTCGAGGAGACAGAAGCCAGTGCAGAAGCCGTGGAAGAGCAGCGCAAGCAAACATGGAAGAGAATAGAGTCTGCTGCAAAAGCGAGGAGGGGTTAAGACTGGAATCACATCATCCTTGCACAGGGGTTAAAACCGAACCGGATTGCTCAAAAGTTTCTGCTTTCTAGCTTAATTCAGCAAGCAGGAGGTATGGATATTGTTTGATCATTTAATTTTACCATTCTTTTCTAAACAAATTAAAATTCAACAATTTTTGCTACTGCTATTATATTGTTTCTTTCTTTCAAGATTCATTATTCTTTAACACTTGTGAACATCAATAATGACAGTGCTGGCTGTAATTTATGATCAACCACCCAGTTTTCTCAAAAGAGAAAACAGATCCAGTCCTACTTTTTACTTCTTACTTAGCTCCATAGCTTTATATACAGTTGAAGCTCAACAGTGGTAATTTTACTTGTATCCCATTCTTCCCTTCACAAGTAAACTGTTTGTTTTTAACTTTCAATTTTTCATCTGAATATTCATATTCCGGTAACGGTCTCGTCTCACTATTAGTTTAAACGTTTAGTTAGACAGAATACATCTTTCAATTAATAAGAGTCACATGTTTGAGAAAATTTGTTTTAGATAAGACTCAAACTTTTAAATATCGGCACAGGAAAAAGATTCTTTAAATAGTGTTTTTCAATTTTCCTCAACATGGGAGCAACCCCACAACGTTAATGACGCAATTATAAGATTCGGAAGGATAACAAAATTGTATGATTGTTTGTTGAATTTAAAAGGTGACATTGATGTGTGCTCAAGAAGAGCCTAACAGAGGCTCTGAAATTGATGTAATGATCCAAAAATGTCACTTTATCTCAACATCATGGACAAAAGGGTCAACAAATCCCACTGCTGATGAAAGGAAAATAGAAAAAAAAAATAAAAAAAATTAGAAGAATTGTTTGATTACTTAAATTACAAGCTATGAACCCCTAATTCCAATCAAGTATGTATAAAAATGGTGGAACGGGATGTCCAAGTCGGTGGAACATAACTTTCTATTTAATAATTATAGTCTGATTCTTGTCAACACTCTTTTGATCGAGTTTGTCACTTAGTGTTTTTATAGTGCGATTTATCTCTTTTATGTGGTTTGCAGGTTGTGGGTTATTACACAGAAGTTAAGTTTTACTCAATACACACTCTTAGTTTGTGGGTTATGGGCTACTACACACTAGTTGGATTTACTTAAAAGCACATAGTTATAGTTAGATAATGATTGCGAGTTTCCTTAGTCACCAAAAAAAATAAGTGGGACTGTGGTTAGTGATTAAAATTTTCTTTTTTTTTTTTTTTTTATTTGGTTCAATTCTTTCTTGAATGATATAATTTGTTGTTTTTAATTTCTTGATTATATTTCTATGGCAGACATAATAATGGTAATGATAATTAGCCACCTTGGTTGGTGGCAATGTTAAGGTACAAATTTGGAATAATAATTAAGAGAGACAAGAAGAAAATGGTGGTTGCAATAGGAGGGGGTGATGATGGTGGAGCGGCGTTCCCGAATATCATTCCGAAGGGGTCGTCTGCACTATCACCGCCGCCGGTGGGCCTAGCATGGCTGTTGCTGGTTGCGCCGGTGGTGGTCCCGCCACCGTAGGATATGGGAATGCTGTTGTCTCCCCTGTAGTGTCATAGCAAACTAACATCAATTAAGGCCAAACTTAACTTACAATTCTATCTACACAAGCAGTTCAATTAGATGACACCATAACATCATTTATCGATCCAAAACATTTACTTATTGTTACTCCATGCATTATTACAAGGTTGTTTTGTTGTCAAGATAAAAGGCTTTGATCTTATTCCACAAATTTATACCAAGATTCTTTGTTATGATAAGATAAGATAAGAGGTATCAAGTAAGGGCAACCAAAGATTTCTAGTGGTCTGATCTACTTATTCATTAATGCCTGTGGGAAGATAACGGAAATGTGGCCAGCACAAGTAGTTTAGTTGGTTTTTGGGTGGAGATTGTGAGAAAAGACGTAGGATTGAAGCCTGATAAAAATATTGTGAGAGTTTTTCTTTTTAGTGAAGTGAATCTTTGTAGGTACCAAATACTGATTCTCACACTTAATGAATCATTGATCCTTTCACCTAATGAGCTGTTAAGTCACCATAATAACTATAGTGTCCGACTAGAATATGAAAAGTTCTTGAGACAAAATTTTTTATCTTTTGTGAACAAGATGTGAAGAGCATTAAAAACACAATTTCCTTGAAACACAAAAAGGTAATCCGGAAAAAAGGGTCTAAAAGACGAGGCAAAACTACGACTCTACCTACAAGGATGTTGGCTACTTGGCTGCCTGTCAACTTAGATTCTCTATGCCTGTACACTGCACTCACATGGCTCTATGTACCACATAACACCTTTATACTTATTCCATTGTTCCTCTACCTCTCATCTCTCTCCTTAAACAATGCCATAAACTATCATGTAATTAATTAATGATCATTGTTTATTCAAACACTATACTAAGCAATTGTTTATATGATATATTTCTGGTTAGTGCACCAAACGGATATTTCTGGTTAGTGCACCAAACGGTCCAAAGAGCCTATACTAGAGGCCCATTGAGCGCAACGTGCGATCTGACCTCGTTGAAAGAAGACATGCACTAACGAAGAAGACTATGATACCCCTATGACTATGACAATGATTGAATCTCAATCCGCTCTTGTTTCTACCTTAAAAATAATCTTAATATATGAAATAAATTGCAAGATGTGTATTAACGATATATAAGTTTTTCAATACCTAGAACCGCCAAAAACTCCAGCATGCATGGTGAGCTGGTCAATAAGAACGGAAGATTGGGGATCGAGGCTAGAGGCCTTGGCATACTCGTTGCTGAGACCATTGCCAGAGGGCACGAAGTAGGCTCCGTTTACCATCATGTCCCCCTCCGTCCTCCAGTTCCAATCACTCCATTCCCCCTCATTTGTGTCCACGCGCTTTGTCACCTGTCCCAAACAAATTCATTAATGGAACCTCAACAATGACCATAGTTGGTAAATGACCACACGGAGATAAACCAGTATAGGTTACACATAGTTAATCGAATCAAATCAAAGTAAAAACAAAAGTACGATGCAATGTAACACTTCAAATTGAAATTGTATTATTAGTCGATTATAGAATTTATTATAATTGAAAACAAATACTGTCTAATAATTGAAGTGGAACACTTAAGCCAAGTTGATCCATCATTTTCTTTCCATTTTCTCTAATAAATTTAAATTCAATCTTCTTACTTTAATTTCTTAGAGAGAACCATGCCCCACGTTACATTATTGAGCCAACAACATTGATTAATCAAAATGGGTTGAGCCAACAACATGTGAACCATAAGTAAATCATCTAAGTGTATATAATAAGTTGAACGGTGGTTTATGATATAACGATGGCTCTAAGAACAGCTAAGTTGACGAGGATTTGAAAGATACATACGGAGTATGCATTATTAGACCAATTATTTCCATTATCACTGAAAGAGAAATTGTGGCAATTTAAAAAAAAAAAATAAAAAAAAAAAATACCTCCTTGGCGTTTGGATCAAGCGGCGCAATATAGCGGTTGCCCTGGCTGTTGATGGTAGGGTTAGCGCTACCGCCGATAGCATACATTTTCCATTCAGTGTAATCGTTGTTGACCACGTGTATATATCCTCTCCTGCACCTTGGCATCCTTTGCACACACCCTTCCCCAAAGTGATTAAATGCAATTGTCACCTTCATCGCTAAAACTAATTACTCACCTTCAACATTATATTTTAGCTCAAATCATGTGTGACGTGATACGTGTTACATTTTATTTAATAAAAATGTAATATTTTTTATGACTGAGATATTTTGTCAACACAAATTATGTTGGATTAGAATATAAAAATAGCAGTGTTTTTATTGTGTACTATAATAAATAATGTTGGGCGTCGGTCAGGTTGGCCGAGTTCAGCCACTGCTCCTACTCGATTCGAGACGTGACGATGGGGCTTACCATGCAAAGATGTGGTTAAATGATTAATGTCCACATACTTATCATATGATAATCAGATAGCCAAAGAACTCTATAGTTAATCGTACTTGACTTACAATGTGATTTTATTTATTCTATTATTAGCATTTAGTCCCTTTTAGCGGGTAACTATTATAGATAGGCAAATGTCACCTTTAATTATTTCAAATTATTGTAATTTTGACTCTTTTACTAACCATCATAACAAAAATTATACTAAAAGTGAAAAAGCATGTACTACTCACACATTTAAATAACATGTAATTTCTTAAAATCATGACAATACATATATTTTATTAATCTTAATAGAGTTTTCTCAAACTATTAACAGAAGAGCCAAAATTATGATGATTTGAAATAATATTTGAGGTAACCTATACTTGCATATAATAGTTAGGGATTATAACAATTAAACACTGATAATCGAATAAACAAAACCAAACTTTTCCTTAACTTAAAGGTAAATGTGATATTTTTATAAATAATAATTATTTTATTTACGAAAGTATCAATGTCTTATCTTATAAGTTATAAGTAATAAACACCAAAACACCATACATTTTCAACATCATAAAACTTGTCTAAAAAATTTATACGTAGCATTAAAATGTTCTTTACGTATGCAGTGTTATTATACCGATTGGTAAGGCACGTGCCATGCACGTAAAGAATAACCGCCGCCATTGCGCGTGACATTTGGAGCACACCATGCAACGTATCAAGATATTTTTGCAAAAAGAAAAAGAGAAAAAGATAATATTACTTAAAAGGGTAAAGTTGTAAATGACGCTAACCTGCATGCCGGAGTCCGGCATGTATCCGTCTTCGTGTCCGAGGAGCATGACCTCATCATGGTGGGAGAAATAGCTGTTTGAGATGGTGATGGCGGTGGACCCCATTATGGCATCAATTAAGCCGTCGGTACAATGAGACAAAGCGCAGTGGTCAATCCAGATGTTCCTCGCGCCGTACAAGGATATCCCGTCGCCGTCCGATCTGCCTCTCCACCCGGCGTGCGTTGGGCTCGAGCGTACGATAGTATTCCCCGAGGGGAGGCAATTGTAGACGTGGATGTTGTGGATGATTACGTTGCTGACGTACTGGAGCGTTATGCAGCCGTTGCCGGTGACCTGGACGTTGGCGCCGCGGCCGTCGATGGTCTTGTAGCTGTTGACGATGAGCTCGTGTTTGAGCTTGATGGTCATGTCGGCGGCGAAGATGATCCAGAGCGGTTCCGTTTGGATCACGGCGTGGCGGAGAGTGCCCGGCTTGGGGTTCACGGCGTCCTGGTCGGAGGAGTCGGAGACCACGTAGATCATTCCGCCTTTGCCGCCCATTGCGGCTTGCCCGAACCCGATGGCGCAGTCCGCTAACCTCTGGCGGTTGTTTCCCCAGTTAGGGTCGCACTGCCAGCAGTCGTCGATAGGGTTTCCGGTGAGGCATTGGTCTTTTGAAATCGTTGGCAGCAGGAGTCTTCGCGAGATTGATTCATTCACTCTCCTGTTGGTAGCACATCAGGTGTTTGTGAAAATGCGTAGGAAATGGCAGGGGATAGCAATTAACAAATGCAATGCAACCAGAGAAATCAAGGTTGATTTCTTTTTTCAGAAATTGGGTTTTTGACTTCTTTTCTTTTACCAAAAACATTGTGGAATTTGGAGAGTGGGGAAGGGGAATAAGCTATAATAAGTCAAGAAATGTAGACCCAAATTTGAAAAGTTGCAGTTTTAAGAAAACAGCAAATGAAGAATGTATGAAAATTAGCACTTTGAAACAAACAAAAACTGTTCTTTTCAGCTGCCATTGGAAGGAAAACAGAGCTGCTCAGATTTTTGAAAAATGTTTACAATGAGCAAAATCTGGATTCTTTAAAGCCTGCCCAGAAGCACAATCTTGAAAGAGATGAGAAGGTTTTACCTTTGAACTTCTTGAGCCACCACCTCAGGATAAGGGTGTTGATGGGGAAGGGTGAGGTTGTGGGTGGCACTGATAAGAGGAGTCAAAGAGAAAAGACAGAACAAGAAAATGCAGGTGGCACTGCCAGGAAGAAGCATCCTTGGAAGAGCAAATGCTATGGTAAAAAACTAAAGGACAGGTATATAATTTGGTAAGTTGTTGTTATTGCTTGCTTGTTCAAAAGAAACTCCAAATGGAGGTAAGAACCCAGATATCTTGCCCTTCAATGCACACTTTGGGGGAAGCTGCAAAATCTGGGAAATTGTGATACTCTTTTCTATAAATGATCAAATTGAAAAAAGAATCATTCTGCTATCTTCTTTGGCTACCATGTTGTTTCAACAAGAAGAAAGAACAGAGACTTTGGATTTCTAAGGCTGCTATGTTGTCTCCATCCATGGTTGTCTCTACACTTCTCCCTTGCAGCCTCTCTCAGACACTCACATTCCTAGCTTTCTTCCCAAGGAATCCTGGGTTAATCCATTCTCAAATGTGAATACATAGGAAGACAACCTTCCACCTTTCTTTTATCAAGGCTGCTCTTATCCTAAAATATTAGTAGCCCTTCCTGGCAAATTTTTGTTTTTTATATTTCTTTTGGCCACAAACATTGAATCAGACAATACAATGAACTCTGTTCACACTTTCTTCTCTAATGACACTAGTCTAGTACTGTTAAATTATCCTTACATTAAAATTTCACAGGAGAGGTAGATATATGGTGTGTTTGGCTGTTGTGGGATTGAAGATTCTCTTGCTGGAAAGGAGAAAGCTGGAGGGTTGGGTTCTGATACTTTGAGTTAAAGTTTTCTTTTTTGCTTTCACTTTTGCTTCAATGGATGAGGAGAAGGTAAAATTAAAAGATCTTAAAAGTTACATATAAACCCAATCTTAGCAGTAGGATTAGTTTTGCAACTTTTTTGAGTCATAATGACATCAAAGGCTACTGCCTCTTTTCACTCTCATCTTATGAATAACTGAAACCAATTAACTTATGTTCTCTGCTCTAACAGGTAAAGAGAAATTTGCAGATTATAAGGGTTTGTTTGGTGCTGTCTGGGGATTGGCAAATGAAGTTGTATACTTGTATTAAAGAAATATAAAATAGTAGCATATATACTAGCATTATCCAAATAAAAAAATATTAGTTAAGGGCTTAAGGCAAAATATTATAGCACCTTTGTCATTTTTTTGGCCTTCAATACCAACCAGTCAACCACTTTAATTATCACAAACTGCCATTTTTAATGAAGCAAGCGTCAAGCGTGTGGCTCCTACAATTTGAAAAAATAAAAATAAAAATATGCCCAGAAAATGAATAGCCAGGCATGTGAAACATAATTCTCTTATCAAAAGTCACAAATTTAATTTTTGTCAACATTTTTTTGATATAATTTTTTTTTTTTTTTTTGGATAAATCTCTTTTATGTGTACGTAATTTACAAACTAGTACATAGCATCGGAGTTTGTTGTTTACTATACTATAGCAGAATAGTAATTCAACAACTTGCACAGCGTGTTTGGTCATTTGAAATTAGTATCTTGCTGTATAACCACCTAATTTATTTATTTATTAATTATTATTATTTTATAAAAGAGCCAAAACTTGTTTCAATTTTCAAATTGTCTTAACGTAGTAACGTAAGAACATTTTTGTTGTTGAATTTGCTGTTTCTCATGTTATGCATGTCGGTAACACTTGAACTTATGCCATGCCAATTAAATAAAATTAAACTAACTAAGCATTTTTTGTTTGTACTCTTTCAAAATCAATTTTTTTTTTTTATAATATGATATTGATAGATTGATGGATGTTATACAACAACTCTATTCGTGTGATGACACAAGCATTGGGTATAATATGCCCATAATCATTCTTGTTGGGAAATCAGTCACCTAAGTCGAGCGTCACTGGATAAATAAGTTAAATATTTCGTTATTATTCCTGTCATCACAGAAGTGGTTGGCACGTGTTATGGTCAACCTGAGCACCCAACTAGGAGCTGTCATGGTGGACTTGCAATTACAATTTTGTGAATTTAGGTAATACAACAATAGGTCAATTAAGTAGTGATTGCAAGCTAAGTGTAATTATTAGATGGAATGAATCCACAAATATATATAATTCCTATATATTGTTGTGCCTTAGAATTCAAGGCAACTCTTCATGTTTCCCATTTTGCAATAATATAGTATGACCCCTTAGGGCTTTAGGTAAAAGGGATAGATAGGATATTATCACATTTCCCACATAAAGACAGATCAGATCAAATCAGATGCCACACTTTTGTACACTTTTTTTTTTTTTTTTTTTTAAATTACAAGGCTGGGGTGTCAGAATAAATTCTTGCACCAATTCCTTTATTAAACTGTATTATGAAATTCAAACTCCCTAATTTACTAAGTGTTATGTCAATTTTATGTATAATAATGGTTTAAATAACACAATTATATTAGACACTTTTAGTAACTGATTTGAGTCTTTTGATGCATGGATCCGGCAACTGACCATACAGTTCGTAATACAATGCCTAATTTCTGTTTGACTATAGAACACAATTCAATTAGTCGACTAATCTAAAATAATGTACAAAATTTAGAAGCATGTAACCTGTAAGCATAAACTGTGATGGACCCTTAACTAGCTTGACCCTTAATTGCACCCTTAACTAGCTTGACCCTAAACTGTAGGCTAGACTCCATTTTGAATCTTGAAAGTTGAAACCATACATTAATACCTGGAGCACCTAAACTACAATCATTATACTGTTGAATATGTTCTACATTGCAAGGTAGATCATTGATATAGAAGTTTATTTTTAGTATATTGAAGGTTCATTTTAGTGTATTAAATATTTATTTTTTCAAATTTGCTAGAATTAATAATAAATATAAATGAGATAATATGGTTTCATTAATATGGTATAGGCCAACATCATCATCTATATATATATGAATGAATTTCACCTGCCCGCATGGGTAGCTCAACTGATCATAGATGTGAAAGTTTAAAAGAATGACTAGAGATCTGCTCTCACCAGTGGCAGTGGGCAGTGAGGAGGGCTCTCCTTGTGCACGGTAAGCAAAGGTCTAGCCTAGATTCAGTTGAGTTACTACCAGATACTCTGTCGACCCAGGGTGTGGCCTTCAACAAGGAAAAAATGAATTCCACCTCAAATAATTTAAAGGACAACTGTAAAATTAAAGAAAAAAAATTCCCCTGAAATTAGGGGTGTTTTTAGGACAAAATTAAAATTGATTGGTGAAGAGTAATACTTTCCAGTTTCCACTCAAAAACACATCAAAAAGACGTAAGCTGGTAACATCAATCCAAGAAATCCTCAACTACTTCCTACCGCCAACAATCGTTTTAGGTGACTCATTGTTTTGTAATCTTCCACCGCCCAATTTATTAGGCTCTATTCTAGTCAAACAAATAATAATAATAATAATAATAATAATAATAATAATAATAATAATAATAATAATAATAATAGTCATGCTATATTATTACCCTACTATAGAGAAACATTTTTTTTTTTTATGATGATTGATTAGCAACGAATGTTGACTCTAGACAAAACAATTTGTATGTTTTGGATGTCTCAGAGACAGGTTGATGTCTTGTTTACTATTGATTGTGTTAGTATGACTAGGTCACTGTGTTCGTTTTCTTTCTCCTTGTATCAAAAAAAAAAAAAAAAAAAAAAATCTACTTACCAATAAAATACAAAAATGAGTCAATCGAGTAATAATGGTATAACAAGGGGTAAATATTAGGAAGTAAGCCTAAGAAGTTAGTGTAGCAAGACTCTTGTTGTCTAGCTAATGACATCATTCATAAAGTATATCGCGATAAGTATTACACTATTCATGAACTAACCAATAATCCTATCATAAGATAATAAAATCACATTATAAATATATTGGTCTTGTTTGGTAAAAAATTGGCCTATAAGCTAATTTTGACTTATTTAACCACTATTAAATTGTTTGATTTAGTTAAAATATGAGTAAATACCCAAAATGGTCCCTCGACTATAGCTAAATTCACCAATTGGTCCTCAACTTTTAATTTCAAACAATTAAGTCCTTAACTTTGCAATTTTAACACAATTTGGTCATCTGTCTATTTGACTGTTTGTTGACTGTGATCTTTGAGGATATATATGTAATTTCACGTGCAAAGCTCAAAAGAATTTTGACCGGTTCAGCTTGCCTACGTCGCTTGGAGTCACGACTTTCTTGAAGAGCCGCTCCAGGGACTTCGTCAATCTATCTATCAAAAACTATAATCTCTCCGGCATGGGGTGCAACTCCGGTTTGATTTCGATCGATCTCGCACGTGACCTCCTGTACGTGCACCCCAACTCTAACGCCCTGGTGGTTAGCACGGAGATGAATACGCCCAACTATTACCAAAGGCGACCAAATTTGGAAGATTGCTTTCGGTAGTGGATTCAAATGCAACATTGCGGTCTGAAAATGCAACCAGAACCTTAAAAAATCGACGGTGGACCGTGAAATTACTTATATATCCTCAAAAATCACAGTTAACAAACGGTCAAATAGACGGAGGACCAAATCGTGTTAAAATTGCAAAGTTAAGGACTTAATTGGTTGAAATTGAAAGTCGAGGACCAATTTGCAAATTTAGCTATAGTCGAGGGACCATTTTGGGTATTTACTCTTAAAATATCAATATAAATGTTTGGTTAATTAGCGTTTTGCAACTCTAAAAGACTAAAATTCAAAAAGCTACTCCAAACAACTTTTTCGATTAGCTTTTTTAAAAAAGAAATTATACCAAACAGCTATCAGTTAACAATTAATTTACCAAACATTTTTCTACAATAAGCTAATGTTATTAACTATTTATACCTTCTAATTGACACAATCAGCTGACAGCTAACAACTATTTTACCAAACAGGGCTATAGACTATTTTGATTCAAACATAAACAAAATTTACTCAATGCATATGATCAAATAGTGATTGTGAAAGCCTAAATTTACTCGTCATTTCGAATACTTTTCCATTGAGAGAACACCCAGCCTAACTAGCACTTAATTGGCCAAGGAAACTACGAAAGTCAAAAGCTAACAAATTAAAGGAAAACAAATCAAATATGAAAATATGATATAGACAAATTAAACCTAATATAATAATAATAAAAAAAGGCATTTAAATTAAATGTGTGGATCATGCAACTAACCAATTCAAACTTAGCTTCTCATATGATCCAACGTACAAAGTGCATGCTTTTCGTGAATTCTGATGAATTGTAACTACACTACCTTTGCATTGCCCAAACATAAAGACTTGAATTGCTTTTTCCCATGTTGCATGCTTTCTATTTTTAATTATTTGTTGGTATGTTTAACGTATATGTAATGTCTAAGTTAACATAACCTATTTTACAAGTGCTATCACTAGAATACGAGAGGAATATATCACTTATTTATGCATATTTGTTTTGAGTACTACTCATTCTGAATCAATAACGTCTTTACTGGGACATAAACCAATGACTTCTTATTTGGAAGAGTCACTTTATGCACTAGACCATAAGGTCATTAGCACTTGTGTATGCATATATTAAAATTATATAATGTAGATCTTCTTTATTCTACTGTTTTTTTTTTTTTTAAATTCCAATTAAGATTTCATCTTTATTACTTTTTGATGGAAAATATCTTTATGAGGTGTTACTTTAAAGTCAAAAAATGGTAGCTAGCTACTGGCATGAGATCCAAGTCAGGCTGCAGTATGCAAATCTGGAAAAAAAAAAAAAAAAAAAGGAAGATGTTGCCAATTGCCATGTAACGATGACACGATTATATTAAAGCGAAGAATTCTGATACATCTTTGCATTTATTATGTCAAATTTCAAGAAAATACTCTTCACTCTGTATGTATGTATATATATATATATATATATATATATACACACACTTAGCATACTTAGCATAACTTAACTAATTAATCACTCAAAATAAGTTTATCAGGTTCGCTTTGCTAGTAGTAAAATGTAAAGTTTGAGTCCTACTAAATATTATGGAGTAATAATTTAGGCATATGTAAGTTGATTAAGCTAGCCATATGCCAAGGACTTTGTAGTCAAATGGCACCAAGTTGCACTTATATGAGAGGTTGTGGGTTCGAACCTCAGTAGGGTAATGTCCTTTTGCAGTTACAAAAGGATTGGATTTCAATAATAGGTAAACAAACATGGTAACGGGTACCAAAACCTATACTAGTTCTTTTTGAGTAATACTTCACTACCTATCCCAATTTTGTACA